GTCCCCCTCCACATAACACGGCCCATAGAATTGTGTTCCCAAGAGTCCATCACAAAACCTGTACCATTCATGTCCTGCTTGCACAACTCTTTAAATAATAGATACACAAATAACTTCAAATATAACTGGGACTGGTAAACACGTAAAACGTCTGTGACATGCTGGGCTTGGCAAAACTTGTCTTGCCGGTTAATCAAAGGCAGTCCCTAGATATTTCGTGACATTTCCCCTATCAGTTAACTGTTCTGCTCCAGCGGTGCCACTCGACCCGCCAGCCCTGAATGCAAAAAGCTTCTATAGGAAGGCAAACAACGGCTTACAACTAGAAGGTCGCCAAGAAGTTGGCGGGGGGGGGGGGGAGGGGGAGGTGTCTTGGTGGTCAATACCCACTACGCTTGGCAGCCATATATAGGGGCGGCTTTTCGACAGGAGCGGCTTTTCTTTTCAGTTGGCTAGTGAGGGATTCAGTTTGCTAGTTATAGACGAGGTCAAAATCTAGTCATTTTATCTTAACTAACAGACTGAGGAGCGATATTTGCTACTGGGCTCTATTGAATGCGAAGACAAATTTTTCCCGCCTTCAGGAGTATTGGGCATATAGTGTTAAACACATATTTTATAGACCAATGAATCAGACCTAAAAGTGAAAAAAATTGGAGGGGGTGGGTTATTTGGTCAATATCACACAGCCCGCCTTTCTTTACTAGTAATTTACCAGGTACCCACTCAAAGCTGGGTCGATCTTAGATACAAGGTCATTTTTGAATAAAATGTCTGGATTTCGTTCGGACTGAGCCCTTGAACTTCGCATGTGAATGCGAACATATAGCCGCTATACCTGGAAATTGTCCTATTGAATGTTGAATTAAGAATTGACATCACTGTACTCAAGATATTTACACAAGGGCTCCGTCTCCATCTGTTGAACTTCTGCAAGATCCCCATGTCACTTCTTGTAGCAAAACTCCTCGGACCGTCATGATCTATCTTCGTGAGCCTCCACACTTTTCACTCCCCTCCCCCATCCCCGAATGACCATGAAACCTGCATCAGTTCACCTCCGTTTGGAACATAACCAGCCAGTCTATCTCTGTTCGTTTCCCAACACACCGCGGCCTGGAGAAAATAACCTAACGAAGTTAATTACTTGAGACCTCCGAACCGATGCCTGCCACTCTGTGCGAAACATACCCTCGTCCAACTCTTCCTAAAATGACCAGTTACAATAATTGGACCCTATTAAGGTGGGAGATGTTGGCCCACAAACTTGACCACCGATGGCGAAAATGATTTTTGAAATGTTTAATGAACTTTAATACTGTGTTTACACACAAACAGATTTTAAAAAAAAAAAAAACACACACACAACTTTGATTGGGTGTCTGTGAAGAACGGATTAAGTCGTTTGCCCTTCTGAAGGCTGGGGATTCGATTTGGACTCTGTCCTTCGGTGTGTGAATACAGATGCTTGGAAAATCCATGGGATCGTTTGTGCAGCTATACATTGACGTCGAGGACTTGCGGCCCTGCCCCTAGAATTACTAAGTGGCAAACACGTGTGTCCGCAAGATACAAGGAACGGCAGATACTGCCTTAGGGATGTCAGTTGTATGTATTCGACCCCCCCCCCCCTTTTTCCCCTTCTCCGCCACACAAACACACACACTGCAGGTCATTGCACAGTTTCCTTTCTCGCCGCCTTTCCTTAAAACCGAAACCACTGTGCACCAACCATCACGAGTGCACGGCTGCCCTATATGACAGTAACATGTAAAGCACCCAGTTTCACGACTGTAGTTATAGTTTAATAGACCAATCAGCATTTCGTTGGTGATACAGTTAATAGAACATCAGGAGCCTTTACTTCCCTGAACAATACTGGGTACTGTTGTTTAGCTGGGTCAATCAATCATTTATGTGCGGTCTCCACAAGGAAAGTTGGCTGCAGTGGATGGCCAACACTGTCTTTTGACTGATTGCTTTTGCCCATCTCTTGATGTTGTCTTCTCACTTGTATCGTTTTCTAGGTCTTGCGCTCTTAGCTTGAACCTTTCCCTTCAGTAGGGTTTTTAAAAAGAGTGTTATGTCTATTATTATGGCAAAAATATTTGAAATATCTCTTTTTTCATTACTTTCAGGATGTCTGTTTTCATTCGTAATTTTTCCTGAACCTCTGTATTTTTGTTTCCGAGAAATACGACCCATTCTTCTGTATTTTTGCATTTCCAGAGACTTTATTCGATTTCTAGTTGCTTGTTCAGTGTCCAGGTTTCTCCATCGTACAGCAGGGTTGAATATACACATATGAAGATTCTCATTTCTAATGTGTTGCTTATCTCTCCAGATGTCAATCATTTTCGCATCTTGTTGAAGATAATTATAGCCATTTCTATTCTCTCTCTGATGCCTGTTTCACTTCTGAAACCATCTTGTATACATGTCTAAGCTAGGAGAAACCTGTTATTGGTTCTAATATCTCTCCGTTTACTGTGATGTTCACGTTTGGTCGCCATTTTCTATTGGTAATTACCAAAGTTATAGTTTTTCAATTTTTATGTCTAATCCAAACTTCTGCATTCTTCTGGTAACTTGATAAACTAGGTCTTGTAACTGCTGCTAAAAAAAATTTTTTAAAATCCGCCCCAAAATTGGACGATTTTGTGTTATTTCAAAGCCCTACATCGGCTGTCCTCGTGGGTCCTAATGTAACCTAACGGTTAAACGGGGTTTCTGGAACTTGTGCTCGGGGATTCTTTTTTGAATGGTGTCACTTTGTGTCACCAGGTGTTTATCCTTCCTTGATTTGCCCTCTTGTGGTTTAACGACACCTACTTACTCTCCTGCTCACCTTTTGCTAATAACTCTGTGTCGTCTGCAAAGCTCAGATTGTTTATTATTCTGGGTAAACCTGGAATAAAATCAACATGCACATTATCATGTTCTGAAAAGGGATTTGAAACATGACCACCGGGAGGACAGGCAATAGTGTTTACCACAGTACTACCGCACTTTCTTGTCATAACACACTGAGATAGAACATACAAGTGTTTGGATAGTGTCTGAGTGTGTGTGTCTGGAGGTTGGGGGTGAACAAGGAGGGGGAACGGGAAGGGGTACTACTACAAACAAATTGAGTGTTCTAGGAGGCTTTCGGCACCGTTTATGCTCTAACTTTACAACAGCCGGATATTGGCCTGGGCTAAAGTGCGCACACCGACTGGGCGGTACCTTGTGCCGTTGTGGTGATATAATAGTAATAATATATAGTACACTTTTGACAGTGCCGTTGGGGGAGGTATGTGTTTATATAGTAAAATATAACGTTATACAGCAATAAACTAGTGATGTTATAGATTATGTAGAACAATTTTTTAAACGTTAGATCAAAGGTAGGTAAGCTAACTTGACCTTGCAGGAATAGGGGCATTGACTTTTGGGGTGTTATGGACAGATAATAGAAAAAACATAATTTATATTAGCAGGGATGGAAAGAAGGTGGTATTCTTCGATGTTTCTGCCGTTAGCAGGCCGGAGGCTGGGTATCGAATTTTTTTGGGGGTGGGTGTGTTGGTGGGGTGGGGGTAGTTTTGGAGAAACTGGTGGTAATTGCTTTTATGTCAAAAACACATACATGTTTACACACACACACTCTCTCTCTCTCTCTCTCTCTCTCTCTCCTCCCTTCTTTATATATATATATATATATATATATATATATATATATATATATATATATATATATATATATATATATATATATATGACAACTAAAGTATACGTGTGTGTGCATGAAATTAGATATTGATCGATGATGTGGTGATAAATTTTATGATCACCTAAGTATTAGTAATTAGCCACAATGGCAAGGTCCTCACTGACTAAAAGAGTTAATCTTGCGGGTCTTCAAATCAACTAGGGCGATTTTAAAATCAAAGTGAACGCTTTTAAAATCAAAGTGGTGGATTTTCAGACCACCTAGGATGTTATATTTATAGAACTCAGTACGATACTTAACTCAACTGGGCGATGTTCAAATAATCAGTGGACGATTTAGATCCTATTTTTAAGTCCTAGTAGAGGATTAGTCTACTATCTAGACCTTTAAAAAAAGTGGATGATTTTCAAACCAAATAGACCGTTACCTTTATTGTATTTTTCCCAAACCAAAGTACGCGATTTTCAAACCACCTGAGTAGTATTTTTTTTAAATCAAAAAGCACGATTCTGAAACCACCAGGTAGTCCCCCCCCCCCCCCCCTCCCCCAATCAAAATGGTCATTTCTTAAATTAGAAACTTTTGTGAGCGAGGATGATTAAATATTATAGAAGTTGGTCAACAAAAGTTTTTTTGTTTTTTTACCCCCGCCACCGCCCCGCCCAACAGGTTTTATTGATAATTTCGGCTGTCAAAAAACTGATAAAGTCGTAGAGTGAAATATTTTCGTACTAAGTTAATAAATGGTACTATATATTATTATAATCTATTGTATGTCAGCTTGTACACACTACTGATGCTGCATCTACATATTAACATTAGACTGGACACTGGTTATGTTCTATGAGAACAGATTTAGAGTAGTATAATAAAACGATCTCCCTAAATCCTCTAATGCAACAACAATATAACCCCAAGCTACACTAGCACCACATTGGAATAGAAAGCCATCCTCCTGAGCTATATAGTACAACATGTAACCTCTTTGGTACATCGTGCAAGACCACTAGCACCACATCAGAACAGAAAGCGATATTGAATCCTTTAATTTTATCATGTAACACCATTAACACCATAATGTAATAGAAAACCATCAAGGTCAATCCTTTGGTACAACATGCAACACCACTAAGGTCACATAGAAAATGAAAGCAATCCTCTTGAATCGTTTTGTAAAAAAGATAATCTCTAATAGCACCTTATAAAAATAGCCAACGATCCTCTGCAATCCTCTCATACAACAACGTAACCTGTAGATGTTGTTGCTTTGTCTCCCCAGAGACAAATGGCACGAACAGAGGTTCAAAGATGTCTGGACTGGTTGTTTCAGCAGCAGGTATGTATATGGTTATCATCTGTTTACATGGTTGTCTAGCTTGGTGTGTTCTGTCTTATCGATTCATGCATCTCTTATCTGTCATACCAATATATTGCTTCGTTTGTATTCCTTTCGTTTAAATTTCGGGTCAAATTCAACAGAAGACTTACCTAGAGCCCCGGCATTGAAAGACACGCGAAGCACAGTTACCCTTCGGCTCGGATTTATGAAAAAAAAAATTACTAGAACCAGCTGTGGTACATATGCTAACACTGTGCGACAAGTGTATACAGGATACGTACGACCAAAACTGGAGTATGACATGGGAGCATACCCAACTACATCAGAATCAAATCTAAACAAATTGGACAAAATACAGACCATCGGCCTCAGAATTACCACTGGGAGTATGAGAAGAACACCAGTCATTAACATGGAGGCAGCTTCTGACCTTTAGAACTTAAAGCCGTCGAAGGGAAGCAAACAAGTGCTTACCCAGACATATTTTTTTTTAAACGCATACACAACTCCAGGAACAAAAATGCAAGACAAAGTTTTCACCATCTCTCAACATTATTTTTTTTTCGCCGATAACAGTGACATCCTCTCTAGGACCCAAGAAAGTGGGAAATGACCCAAGCATGTAAAGCAGACCAACAACCTAACTATACAGTCACAACAACAATCCCAGGCATTGACATAAAGGTTGAAGAATGTGACCTAGTACTGCATGCAAAGACCTTTGAACTTGTCTACAGCTCATATCCATAACCCGAATAGATCGATATATACACTGATGAATCATTGGAGTATACACTAAGAGCTTGTCATTTCTGGATATTATTGGTTTTTTTGCCTTATGTATGTGCCGGATTATTTTTACCTCTCTTTTTTTTTCAGCTTTTCCATTGATGTCTGACTCGTTGCTTCTCTCATACACGCTCTCTCTCTCTCTCTCTCTCTCTCTCTCTCTCTCTCTCTCTCTCTCTCTCTCTCTCTCTCTCTCTCTCTCTCTCTCTCTCTCTCTTCATCTTAGTTTCTCCCTTTCTACCTGTATCTTTGTGATTATTTATATCTGCCCGCACATGGCAACAAGAATCAGTGAAACAGTAATCAGATCTATAAAAGGTATGACAGGACTATCGGTTGGTAGAAATAACTGAAATACAAACCAAAGTCAAAACTAAGTAGAAACAATGGTCTTGGCTTCAACAGCAGAACAACAGAAGTAACAATATTTATACATAAAATATGCCCTCCAAAATGCAACATCGAAGTAAATCAGGCACAATCAAATCTAAAGCAGTTCATTACTTTTAAGTACTGGATACTTCAAAAACAGAAGATGGAAAATGTATTAAAGAAGTTAAATGTAGAATACTTCAGGCAAATGTAGCATTTTCACAAAAACAATAGTGTTCTTCGCAATGTTTTTTTGTTGTTGTCATTTGAGGTGTAAAAGTGAATTTGTAAGAGCTGTATAGTCTGAGTCATCATATACGGAAGTGAATCATGGAACCTTAGCTGAATAGTGGAAGCAGCAGATGCTTAGTTTTGTAGACACATTATGAGAACATTGCACGGATTTTAAAAACAAGTTATAAAGATAACTTGAACTAAATTAAAGTACAAAGATAACTGATTACCCAAATCAGATATAGACAAATATATGGCCACGTCCCGAGAAGGAGCAACTGCATACATTATAACATTGGATTTTAAAAAAAGTTAGAGTAAAGTACAAAGATAACTGAGAGAGAGAGATAGAGAGAAAGAGAGAGAGAGAGAGCAACTGCATACATTATAACGGGGGAAAAGTTAGAGTTGGAGAGAGAGAGAGAGAGAGAGAGAGAGAGAGAGAGAGAGAGAGAGAGAGAGAGAGAGAGAGAGAGAATATGCTGGGTAGTTTATATCTGTGTCATAAATGATTACAAATACCCAGACAGAAGGCTGTGGCGATTCATGACTACCAACGTCATAAGGCATGGACGATAAGAAGAAAAAGCATGTTTTTGACTGTTACCTGTTTGAATACTTCTGTGTGGGTGATTATCGCTGTCTCAACATATCAGTGTCTGCACATCACAGATTATCTGTCTACTTGACTACCTTCTGTATATCTGTATGCCAGAGTCTACATGGGTCTGCTTCAATAAGTCTGCATAACTACGTCTTCTTACTTCTGTTTGTACAACTTTCTTCTTGTTTTTATGTATCCATTTGCTTTTTAAGTCTGCCTAAATTTATCCTGCTATCTATAACTATATAACTTGTAGAGATTGTCTGCAACTGTCTGGCTTGTGCATATCTCTATACGTGTGCTAATATTTGCCAGATTGTTTCTCTTTTTTTTTTACATCACTGCTTATCTGTGTAACCACTGCTTTGTCACCGTTATGTCTTTCTGCTTATTTATGTCTGTTCGCTTCTGTATATGTTCTTGCATTCTTATTTCTGCTGCTCTGTTGCCTTACCACCCCACTGATGCTAACGTATTGCATTAAGTCCAGCCATTATTTGCCTTCTCATTGATTTTAAGAATTAGAGCGTAAAGAAAAGTTGGGGTTTCCATTTTTCTGTTGTCGCACAACTGAAAATTCATGTCTATAACAACAGAACTTGTGCAAGACCAGGGGTGTAGGGGAGCTTGTTGTATACTGCCGGTGCAGTTTTCTAAGATTCCAACACACTGTCTATGTTTTGCATTTGTACAAACATTACTAAAAGTGGTAACCGGTTTTGTGAGAAGAAAAAGAAGAAAAATCTGGGCGTAACTGTAACTTGATCCTGTCTGAAACATGTTATTCTTTCACAGTCTATGTTCCTGAACCTCTAGGACTACGCCACACCCATTCCAGAATCTTCTTCATCGGTCGTTGTCTGTGATAGCGTCAATCTCCCCACTTGTTACAGCATTGTTCAGTTGTTAGTTCACTGGTGTATAGACGCAGCGATTTTGGTGGATATATCAAGTGTTGACATGGCTTTCGCTGGCTGGTCGTGTTTTGGTCAACTCAGAGGAAAGAGAAAAGAGAATGAGTGCTAACAGTTTATTGGTGGAGGTGAGGTTGCAGGTGTGATAATTACAAGATCACAGTTGATTGGTTAGTTAGTTACATCTACAGATTATCATCACTGCACATTGGACAAGTCCATAAACACTCGAATCCCATTTTCAGTATATCCCTTAACGTGTGGCGACTGATAACACCAGTTCTATGTTGGCTTACTACTCTTCTTTGGCTACCTGTATTGTATTTATGTTTGGCGACACCTCTTTTAACCTGAAGCTCTTGTAGTCTTTTGAGTGTTGCCGAGTCAACGTCGTCACTTGAATCATCTTCTTGTTCCTTGGAAGCTCAATGCTGACGGCCCTATCCATTGCTTTTCCTGTACCTGCCATGGCCCTGTCGGTAGCCAATCAGCTCTTTCGTTCTCGCTCACGCCTGAGTCTACATCCCAGTCGGCCCAACATATATAACGTAAATTGTGGTAAAACTTTTCCTATAGGTATTGATGGGCATTTAAAGAAGGATAATATTTGCGTACCTTTCGAGGAAAAAAAAACTGTTGGTATCGAAGTTCATATTGAAAGCTTTATGGTCAGTGTATGGTTATGTGGAGGGCTGAGTCCATTGGAGTATAAAATAACATATATAAACACACACAAACTGAATCAAACACCCAATGGCAAGGAATTGAAAAGCGTTTATTGGGAGTAGAACGTGGGTATTCGGGACCAGCGTGAACCAGGGCCTTTGTTCCACTCGTATGTAGACTGATTTGGAGGTGGTCAAGAGTGGGTTGAAAACTGTCGACGTAAACGCTATTTCTTTAATGTAATTAATCCATTTGGTCTTAAAGCAACCTTTTGCTTTCACATGAGATCTTTGCCTGTGTAGCACCTTTGTTGGTGATTGTTGTGGCTGCATTTTAACAAGATGACCAAACCCTTTGATGTTCTGTTTTCTCAGTGAATTTTGTGCATAGCGTTGTTCCCACAGCCTGTCGAATAGTATCATTTCTCACTTTGTCTCAGCTAACTAAGTTGGCGGCTTCCTCAGGCATCTTATTTCATAGGTGTTCATCTTTTGGCGGTTAGTCTTCAATACTAAGTTTAGCATGTGTAGGTAGTACAGCGCAAAAGTGGTCAATACAGACAGCAATATTAGTGTTTATTTTCATGGCAGTACAGTGTTTTTAAGAGTATGCTGTTTATAATCTGCTTCCTGGCGGTCATACTTATGTTTGGATGTCTTAATGACGATGTAAGTTGCTATATAGGTGCATCTGCTCGTTGGCATTTTGTGTCTATACCTTGAACTATTTTCCCGTCCTGTGAGAATTTACTTCTTAGATATTTAAATTAGTGATTAGTCATAAATCGTTTTTTTTTTTAAATCAGCTTTAGTGTGTATTTTTTTTTTTTAGTGCAAAGTACATTTGTAATGTCTAAAAGACATATTTTGAACGACGTTCCCATTATCTGCAATTGTGTCTGATTTCATATTATAATTTTTGTAACTAAATAATAATATTGTTGTTGCATCTTTATAACGATTTAAATATAACAAAACTGACATTTAAATAGCCATTGTAAAAAGTACGTGCACATGACTGCTACTGCAAGTACTCATCATGTATTGTGTATTGATGACCCGTTGTAATGCTTGTCAACAATTTATCATTTGCGTTCTGCCGTCTTCTGTTTTTACCTTTAGATTGTGCTCATAATAGTTAATTATATTTTTAGACGTGGTTTCTCTGAGGTAACTGCAGTGAAAAAATCAACGAAATGAACTGAACATGATTTCAAAAGTTACATATCCCCAGCCTTCTTGGGTTAATGTAGTGTACAGAGAGTTCGGAAGCAAGTCTTACGCGTTCCTAAGCACGTTGGTTTTGTATTATTAGCTATATACCTGACTGTATGCTCTTCTGCCACATATATTTCCGGTATATGTAAAGTAATCCCGACTTCTATTACCAAAGGAAAACATCACATCACTGTAGAAAAATGTACATCCTATAGAAAGTCCCAAACACGCGGGAGAGTTATTCACTATTGTGTAACTTCTCTAGCTACAGTTCATATTTCTCAAATAACCATAGGTCGACCGTGGGCTGATCTGTCTGTATAGGACAGATTATTTACTCCTGCGTGAACACGTCTTTAAGTAATCGGTGAATTAAAGTAAATGTAGAAATGCACGTAGTTCAAATATATGTCACTGGAATGCAGAATGATTCTTCTTATAGTCAGCGCTGTATATTTACAGCCTTTCGTCTCGTTTACTGGCAATCATTTCTGATATAGGCGATCTTCCATGCGATAATACCAAACTACTTTCTTCACCTCCCTCAACCTCTTTTTCTTTCCAGCTGTATAGTTGTCCCCATGTACTCGAATTTTGGGCTATCCTCCGACTAACGGTCGGCAAAGATGGCGGCCGCAAAATATCCAGTCGAGCCACAGTCACGTGTCATGTGTTGTAAACAGTCGAAAATTGAAGTGTAAACTAATAAGGAGCGACAAAAATGTTATATCAAATCGACTACTTACCGATAATTGTATGCCTTTATATCTGGAAATTATGGCACAGAAAATCTGCTGTTTGTGGCTGTTACGCCATTGAAACTCGGCTAAGTACGATTGGAACAAGGCGCGGCTCGTACCGCATTGGTAACGCACCTTTTTTTTAAGTAGCATCCACAGACCGGCTATCCTCCGAATAACGGGCACAAAAGATGTCGACCAAAAGCAGGGCCTCACGTGTCAGTTTCGAACTTCCAGCGACTTAATTTGCGGTTTTCCGGCGACTACTGCCACCGCCGAGAGTAGCCCCCATGCCGCTCACGCGGCGTGGATTGGGGCTAAACTAGATGGCTAGGACTCACGAGCAAAGCTGCAGGAGATGCGGAAGCTGCTGCTCGTGGGTCCCAGCCATCTAGTCTAGCCCCATCCGTGAGACTCTCGGCAGCGAGTTTAACTCGGCGGTTTGTTCCGTTTCTGGAAATTGTCAACAGACACTAATCCTAGTTTTGCCGCGATGTGCTCGTGACCCCAAGTGCGCAATAGACACGTGACTGTGGCTCGACTGGATATTTTGCGGCAGATAGCCCAATTTTGCTCTCCTTGCGCAATGCCCAAAAGTGTAAATTCAATTCCTATGAATACCTCCCATGTAAAGGTGTGTATATCTCATCGTACAACAACGTCAAGCCACCAACACAATGTGGCATCTTCACTGTGCGAATATGTTTAACAGCTATCCACAAATGGTAGGACAACATTAAGAGGCAGAGGAACAGCAGTCTCAGAGAGTTGTACATCCAAAGCCAAAAGTGTTGCAGATAGATTTTAGGCAACTTTCACTGTGGAGACGACGCCTGATTGATTGATAACTATTAACTTTAGATCAGTTGAATAACTCCATTAGAACAATTAGTTCTCAATGTCATCACTGCTACACCTTTAGCACACTACTTTGTTTTTCCGCCTCCTTTACAGCAAGAACTAGAAAGTGCCTCTTTTGGGCGAGGTAAACTCAGCGTCCTTGAGGCCTTGGCAATCCAGCATTCAAAGGTCAAGGACATCGTAAAGTCAGAGGTGACGTTGATGATTTATTAGAAGCCGAGGTATGTGTGCATGGACTTTTATTATTATGATTATCACTCTGTCAGTTTTCTAGACCAGTGGCAGGTCTAATTGTACACACTGACTATATTAAACACAGCACCAGCAGTTAAAAAACGAACACCTGTGAAATAAAGTGCCAGAAGAAAGCCGTCAATAGACCCACCTATGAACCAGTGAAAAATGATACTATCAGACAGACTGTGAGAACAACATCTTGCACCAGATTAATTAAGAAGCTAAAGATCAGATGGTTGTGTCCTTTTATTAGAATGAATCCACAACTGCCCCCACCCCACAGTATCTATACCTAAAAAAAGATCTTATTTGAGAGCAAGAGGACACTCAATGTAAAATAGACTGATAATATTAAAAGAAATTATACACCTACATGGGCATTAGTCAGTGCCGCCCTGCACTGGACTGCACACTGTTCTTCCCCACAACACTTAACAAACAGAAACAGGTTCCTAGGCAGAGGGTCTGGACATCATAGGTCTGTACACAAACAAGCCAGATGTGAAAAATGGATGTGAATGGAGATCTCCAGTTCTGGAACAAGACCAAAGTCCAGAAGTAAAGTTCCACTATTGTTGGCATACATTTCCTGCCATTTCAAGTGATGTTGATTAGTTAGAATAACAATAATTCCACACTGAACATTTTGATGTATATTTGATGTCTTTCAGAAACTTGATAGCAAGTCTGTGAATGAACTGAATGGCATATATGACTCAGTGAAGGTAAGCTTTGATTGTGTGTCAGTGTGGTAAAATTCGTCAGTTTTGCTGTGGGAAAAATATTGGGCTGATTTGGTCCGTTTGTTTAATGGTGCTAGATGTATAACTGTACTATATTCCATTTTGGTTAGTCAGTTAGGTATAACATATATATACTGAATGTCAGCTATAATGGATCTCAGAACTTTTTCCCTTGCCTTGGTTGTACACCTTCTTAGGCCACTTTTCATCCATCCCTTCCCACTTGTATCACTATCTACCCCTTGCACATCTACCTTCAGCTTTTCCCTCTAGTATATTTACAAGGATTTCATGTCTTTTTTATGTATATTTCCTTTAAAAGCATTGTAGCAGCAAGCAGCAGGGCTGTTAGTATCAAAAGTATTCACACTGTTAATTATGTAGTAGTAGTAGCATCATAAAAAATAGTAATCAGTGATAACAGTCTTAACATCAGTAGTAATAACACCAGTCTTACTTGTAATATTATTGATGGTGATAATAGTAGTAGAAGTGGTTGTAGTAGAACAGTATCATTAGCAGTACTGTATTCAAAGTGATAGCAGTTTTAGCAGCAGTAGTAACATTGATGCAGCAGCTATGCAGTAGTTGTAGTTATAGTAGTATCATTGGCATTATCATTAGCATCAAAACCTGAAAGACAGACTATTACTAAATAATTTCATAATGATATTGACTGAAAGGAGAAAGGAAACATTTTTAGTGAAAACATGTATAGATAATTTAGATACACACACACACACACACACACACACACACACACACACACACACACACACAAACATGTGCAAATGCGCGCACACACACAGTTACTATTACTATTACCACTTACTGTATGCCAGGAATACTAACATTGTAAATGTCCTTAATATTCAACACAGGCTCTTTCAGATCAAAGGAAATCTTGCCTGGAAGTCATCAACCAGATTGCTTCACTGGAAGACCATATCCAGGTGAATGTTGCCCATATTATTTAGTCTATAGCACTGTATTGCAGTATTCTAGAATTTATAGTGTTGATCAAACAGTCATGGCTTTACATAATGTTTTGATATTCAGTGACAGATATTCATACTACAAACACTTTGACCTATCCAGGATGAAATATACAAATATAGTTCTATACAGGAAAAAGAATCCACTGCTTGATAACTTGCCACTCTGGTAATGTATTCTGACACTTAGCTCATGAGAAGAGATAAGTTGCCATTCTCACTGTCAGCATGGAAATTCTTCATTAGCTAATGAAGGAAAGAAAAGAGCATGTATATAATGTCTAGGATACACGATTAATTTTGTTGAAGTATGTATCATGCATCATAGAGTTCCTAGTATCCCGGTGCTAGACTTGAAGAGTAACACATCGAATACCAGAGAAATAGAAAAAAACAATAAATACTGGATGAAATCATGCAGATGTTAACAGACCTGACAATAACATGCATTTTGATTTAACTCTTTGAGTCCCAGAGGGTTTAGCATCACATGCCCAAGGGGTAGTCAAAAGAGACCTAATATCGGTGCATCATGCGTTAATTGGGTTTCTAGGCAGTAACCTATAAACGTATGATGCGTTCCTTGGGACTCAAAGAGTTAAGAAAGGATGTGAAGAAAATAGAATAAGTCTAAATGTCATCTGTTATCCTTTGAAGGAAACAATTCTGTTAAATTAATCAGTAGATGTATAATAGTGTATGTTTGGCTTTTACAGACCGAATGAGCTGACATCAACATTAACATGATCTGGTTATCTATCTTCTTCTCCTTCTTCTTCATCTTCTTCTCTTCCACCTTGTACCTCAGCGAAGGGTCTGGGGGAGATGTAATGTTCGTTGATGAGCTCTGTCAAAAGCACTATTAAGACTGATGTTTATTTCTGTAAGGCTGTTCTTAATGCCATCACTCCATCTTTTCTGAGGTCTTCTACTCGCACTATACCCATTGTAACGTTTTAGTGCGGCTCGCTGTGGCGAATAGTACCGGGGCATTCTTGTTAGGTGTCCAAATCACTTCATGTGTTGTTCTTTGATGACCTGTAAAACTGGCTTTATTCCTAGCATTCGTCTGATTTCATGATTTCGTATTCTGTCTTTCCTTTAAACTCCTGCTGCTCTTCTAAGGCATTTCATCTCTGTTGTCACAATTTTATGTTCATTGGAGGATGTAAGTGTCCACGTTTGGGATTGATAGCATAGTGTTATCTATCTAACTTCAGAATTTGTCTGCTGAGATTGATGCCAGATCTGTTTCCCTGGTCAGTACAAGTGATGTCACCAAAAACAAGGGAGGCTACTCTCAGGCAAATGAAAGTTTTGCAAAGACATCACAGGTAACTTCTTCATCTTATGCTTTCTGAAAGCATTACCAATTATCCTTCTAGTTTTAAGTGATTACAAAACTATCACTGTATGGCAATAAAAAGACAAGGAAAGAATAAACATTACAGCCACACACAAAGAACTAAAATATGCAAGTACAAACTTCCATTGAAGAAGTACAATTCAGAATCCCATCTGGAAATATGGTATGCAATGCCATATTTCCTAAACAAAACCGAAACAATGCAAGTTAGTAGACATTCTGCCCCACTACACATACAGCTGAATGGTTCTGCCCTGAATCAAGTTAGGGAGTTTAAATATCTAGGAAGTATGATCACAGAAGATGGTAGAATTGACAGAGAAATAGAAACCAGATGTCAGAAAGCAAGTGCACTTATATACCAATTGTCACCATTATTAAGACATCTAAGCATAACTATGAGTGCAAAGAGACAGATTATTAATAGCAAATTTATTCCAACATTATGCTACCAGTGCAAAACATGGACACTATCTAAAGCCCATATACGCAAAATTACCACCCGCAGGATGAGGTGTCTGAGAAAAGCAGCCAACCTAACCATCCGAGATGGTTTCAGAGCCATATAAAATGACTGGTCTTATCAACATTTTATATATTTTGATGTTAGTGTTGCGAGACAGACACTTTGACTTAAGCAGATGTTGAAGGGCACAGTTTACTTTATTTCCAGATTATATTCTAGATTGTATTTCTTCACTCAGCATGTTTTAGCAGTTGAAGTTTGCACCTAAGTACTTATATGTTTCTGTTTTCTGATTTTCATATTATCGACTTGTATGTGGCCAAAGTTTATATCCTTCCCTAGTCTAGTTATTATTATGTATTCTGTGATAATTCATAGTCAGTTTAAATCACCTTTTAGTACTGGCATTATAATGGCTAACAGACTGCAAGGGTTAGGAGAAAATGTGAGATAACAGAGAGACAAAAACTGCATACACACAAATGCTGACAGGGAGCAGATCGTAAGGCAGACTAAGGACACAGTCATCATCACTATCAAGTGCCTTGCCAGATGGCATAGGCATTCATACATCTCCACAGATCTTGGTTATTGGTGTTCTGGATCAATTCCACTGATGATATTCCTCCATGTCACTGTCTTAAGCCATCCACCATAATTTCTCTTGGTCTGCCTATACATCTTCTACCAGTGATCTTTCCAGTCATCACAATATTTTCAAGTTCTCCTTTTTTCTCATCATATGACCAAGGAACTTTGTTGTGTCTCCTTCTCATTGTTGTATATAATGTTTTATTTTCATTAGCCACTTCCAGGCAATCATTGTTATTTATTCTGGCAGTCCAAGGTATTCGAAACCATCTTCTTAAAAAAAAAAGCTTTTCTTAATTTGTTTGCTCACATTCCAAGATTCACTTCTATATAACGAACAGGCTCGATATATTTTTGTACTCGTTTTCTTATGTTTAATGAGAGTGATTTATTACTTAAGATACTCCTTATCTTCTGAAATGTCGCTTTTGCCTGGCCATTTCTACTCTTAAATTTTGTCACACATCATCCATCTGATGTTATGAATGTCCCCAAATTCTTGAATTTATTGACTTGGTTACCTTCCCCTCTATTGCTGTCATATTTTGGAGTTTTCTTCTTCTTTGATATAACAACTGTTTAAGTTTTCTAGACATTCAAGGAAAGTCCCTTTTTTGCACTATCTAGTACCACAATGTTGTAGGTCTTCTGCATAACGCAGATTGTTTACGTTATAATCTCCAACTTGTATTCCTTGTCTATTCTTGACCTCCCTCATTTTTATTTCACAAAAAGAGAAGAGATCTGGTGACAAAACACATCCTTGTCTCACTCCTTGCTTTGTTTGTTCAAAACTAGCTGTTTTATTTCCCAATTTAATTGCTGCTTCTCCAGTAAATATTTTTTATTATTCTAAAACGGTGGAGATATAATATTCGAGCAGACCTACAAACACTTAGAATTACCAAATTAAAAGAAAAGGCCAATCACAGAGATGAATGGAGGTGGGTAATATGTGCAGTTAGGAAGTACAAAGGCTCAGAAAGCTGAAGAATAAGTTTACTGTTGAAGTTAATGGCTCTTGATGGCATTAGACATCAGATCCACCTGCACTGGTCTACAGGTTACTTCATTACCATTTTGTGACAGCCCAGTAAAACTGTGCTTTATGATTATGCAGCAGAATGGGGTTTCTGGTTTGATTCTGAACTTTTGGATGTTAATCCTATAACTGCAATCCTGGAAAAGAAAAAAACTCTTTAAAAAAATGTCATCTGCCAGGAGTTTTAATTATCATTAACCTGTCCTAGCTGATACCTTACAGTGTCCATGCCCAGTTCTTGTGACAACAGCTGAATGAATAAAGTTTTCAACCCACCAGGACCACACAACAAGCCATAAACACCCGGTGACACAAGGTGCCACCATTTGGATGAGAATCACCTGGGTGGCTACAACAGAGCAGGTCCCAGAAACCCAGGTCAATCGTTAGGTCATATAGACAACAGCCAGAGTAGGACTTTGAAAAAGGAAAAACTGCCTTCCATATTGGGCTGGCACTGGAACAATGATAGCTGTTCACATTGATTCTTATGTAGAAGTAATGATGACATTTACACTGATAATATTTTATGATGATGAATAATGAAGGCAGCATTATACTGATGATATTGAATCCTATCAATGTTTCCTCAGGGATGTATCTCATCTGTGAGGCAAAACTGGAGGTACATCTTTCAGCTGGCACAGTGTTCAGAAGTACATCTAAGAAATGCAGCTGCATATCAAGAGGTACCTGACCTATCAATGTGTGTCATTGATTTGACTTCAGAATGTGTGTAACTACAAGCTAGATTATTGGAAGTCTCTTTTTCATAATATTGTCTAATTCAGTTTAAGACTGATATTATTTTAATCTTCTATGTAGTATTTATTGATGTATTTTCTATCTTCTTGCTGACATCTGTGGCTTAGACATTGTGAACATGCTTTGTAATGCTGGGGTGCTAGGTTTGATCCCAGCTGCAGCCAAAATGGCAGCACACTGCCTTGTGCTGTTTGATGGTGGTATCAAGAGCCGACTTCATTCATTCATTCAGTAGCATGTCCCTCGCGGAACCTCGCTGCCATAATAACCCTCCGGAAAACCTTCCTATCATGAGCAAGATGTCCTGCGTCTGATACACCCATCTGGAGATCATCTGCCACATCCTGCACCCATCTTCTCCTTGGCCTTCCTCTTCCTCTCTTCCCAGGCATGTACCCCTCCATTATTGTTCTCTCTAGACTTCCATGACGTTTCAAGTGACCAAAATATTTCAATTTTCTTTGTTTTATTGTCTTTACTAGCCAACCCTCTTCAATATTCAGCTCTTGAAGTATGGATGCATTTGTTCTTTTCTTTACCCAAGATATTCTTAGAACCTGTCTGTAACATTTGTATTCAAATGCATTTATGCGCTGTTCCGCTTGTTTAGTAAGTGTCCAGGTCTCACAGGCGTATGTTGCAATGGGAAAGATGCATGCTCTTAAAAATCTGACCTTTGTAATTCTATCTGTACAATTCCATAATTTATTCAGTTGTTTTAGTCTTTGAAGAGCAATTGATAGTCGCCGTTTAATTTCTTTCATTGTGTCACCATTGTTGGTAACCAGTGACCCAAGATATTCGAAATTTTCCACCACTTCCAATCTTTCCTCATTAACATATATTTCCTTCTCCATGGCAGTTTTGTTTGTATGCATTATCTTTGTTTTTGCTGTGTTAAGAAATAAGTTTTGATTTTCACTATTTCTTTGGAGTGAGGGTAATAAGTTTTCTAAACCATTTTGTGATGTTGATAGTAATACTGTATCATCAGCTTCATGATTGTTATGGATTCTTGGCAAAATTTGCAGAAGGTAGTTTGCCATTGCTTTCCTCCTAAGCAGTGACTATACTAGTCGATGGCCATAGCCATTGTCTCTACTGATGAGATCATCTGCCTATCGCCGCAGAGTGCAGACCATAACCAACAATACCTGTCGGCTGCTCTTACACTCCATCCACCACCTGCTTCCATGGCTTCACGTAACCCTGATTGGGGGGCTAAACGGGTACTCCACCTTGCCCAAGGGTGTCCCGTAGACTAGCGGAGGAAAGAGCCGACTACTGAATGTAAATCTGCTTAGAAAAACAAATACAGCCAAAAAATATTGGAGATGGTTCTGCAATGTCTGGTAAAGGACATACAATGAACTCTTCTTTGGTCCCAGACGTCACTTCTCAAACTTGCTTCCATTCCTGACACTTTTTATGTTGACTCATTACAACCCAAAAATATATTTTTGTAAAGAACACTTTATGTGACAGAATTATAATGTTTGACACGTGGGTAATCTAAAGAACGCATGAAGAGTTGCTTAGTATTGGTTAGTTGCGTATCCTTTACAGGACATTGCAGAACCAACCCCATCAGCCCCTGGCTGTTGTGTGGTTTCACTAGACAAATTTACTTCCAGTAGTTTGCCATTACTTTCTGGACAGTCGGCTTCCTGATACCACTGTCGAAACCAACGCAAGGCATATGGCCCGCAGCTGGGTTCGAACCCAGTACCCCGGCATTACGAAGCGTTCGCATCGACTTAGCCATAGAGCCGTTTAGTATTAAAAGAATTAAACCATATGTTCTAATTATCATAAATTGTTTTAGTTGACAATCTCCTGCCACAAGAAATAACTTCTCCAATCGTCACAAATAAATGAACAGTCTAACAGCATAGAGAAGCTGGGTAGGACACTTGTATTGCTGGCCTTCTGACTATGTGTGTGCAATTTATCTGGGAAAGTATAGGCAGCCAGTGTAATACTGAAACAGCAGTCCCTAAATAATTTAGAAGCATGTAGTTTTACAACCAGGAAGCTGAAGCCGGTCAACAAATGCCTGTAGAAGGCATATGTTTTGGCCAAAAGAGCAAATATTTCAGCCATGCTGTTAATGGGCACAACGCATTTACATCTTCAGATGAATGCAGAAGTAGAATAAGAAAATAGTCTATTGCTCTTTAATACTGAACTGTTTATAAAAAAATATGAGTCTAGAACCAAAAACAGAAACTGACACAAAGTAGGATAAAAATCATTTAATTTACTGGCTTTTACAATTCTCTGTCATCTGATGATCTTTTTTTATTGTTTCCTATCCAGGGTTGAAAGCATTCCTCACAAATCTTTCTCTGTTTTCCTTTGTATCTTTTGTTGACATTTTCCCACTGAATCATAATTTGTATATTTCATGTCTCTGTTGATATGCCCTATAAATTGTATTTACTTTTTCCTTTACCCTATTGGTACATTTTGTATCCTGCAGCTCTCATTACCACAACATTTGTTTTATTCTGTGTCCTTGATATTCACACAATGTATGTCAATAGCCACATCCAGTAACCTCCAGTTTTCTCACCATTTTATTGTTCCTTCTCTAACATTTGCATTCACACAGAAAAACAACAGGCCACACACAGGTTTTTTGCATGGTGTGCTACTTCTATTTTAAATGACTTTACACATTTTTTAAAATTAATCTTTGAATATGGTGAGATACTGATGCTAGTGTGTTATCATTCCTTGACAGTTTTTCCAAGAAGCAGAAGAAGCTGAATACTGGATGAACGCCACCCTTCCAGGAATTCATCAGTCAATAGATAGGTCAAAGATTTCAGGCAGCAGATCAGATGTCGAGTCATTTCTTCAGGAAACCACTGTAAGATGTCTAGCTAATATCATCGTCATTGTTACTTTAATTATATCATTACAGTTGGCACTCAAATAGCTATTATTATTAATGTATAATTTCTAGACTCTGGTCTACTCAGGAAACTCTGAACCCAACTGACAGATACAGGTATGGTCATTTTTAGCTATGATAAACAAGCAAAAACAGATATCTGTAACATAAAAGAGATCTGCAATTCAAAAGTAGAATATACATTATAAAAGAGTGAACTGCAGTCAGAAAAGCTTATCTGCAATATTAAAGAGATGTCTCCAATATGAAAAGGTGCCTGCAATTTAATTAGGGTGATTGCAATACAAGAGTTGTGTCTACAGATCTGAAAAATAGTATCACATATTTTCTTTAATGTATATCTTAAGGTTAGTAAATTAAATTACAATAAAGATTTATAATAAATTTTGATGTTACATCTGGATTATACTCAAATAGTTTGCTGTGGCTTTCAACAACAAGAATGAAAATAACATGTTTTAATAATTTTGCTTATGACTACGTAATAGTTACAACTATTTATGCTGTTATAACCCTCCTCCCCCCTCCCTCCTCCTTTCCCAAAAATTATATTTGTGTATGTAATAATGATGAGTTTCTTTTTTAAACAAATTTTTTTTAAATTTAAATTTTAATATTTTTGTTATTGCATGACAGGATACCCTGGCAGCATATCTGAAGTGGCAGACAAAAATTGATTACCTGTTTGACAAAGCTAGACAGGTTGTCCCAGTCCCACTGCGTGTGAAATCTATTCCAAGCCCTAGACCTGTCATAGCACTGACCAACTTCAAGACTAGTGAGGTATGTAAATACTGGACCACATGTCTTCATTGCTCTGTAAAGTTTGCTTATTATCAGCTGTAACATACAGTGGCCAATTTTTAGGAATAATCTTACAATCAGTTGATGAGTCTTGAATGACAAGCTCAACTATCATTTCATACTGAAGACAAAATTTGATATTTTTAGTTCAGAATCAGTCAGATTAGGGACTTACACCTATATTGACTTGTTTTATGTTGAATTATTATTACTTCTGAGTTAATCTCCTATTTATGGAGAGTAGCAGCCCAACATGTTGTAACAGACTCACAGAGCAAGCTTCAAACTGAAGACGTAAAGAACATGGGGGGGGGGGGGGGGGGGGGGGGGGGGGGGGGGGTGGTGACTGTAATCAGGCTGAGATCAAGAAATAACTTTATGCCACACAGTTATCACTAAAAAAGATAAGGCTAAAGGAAAGCTAAGGTAAAGGAAAGGACATGTACAAATACAGCTGAGTATTTCAACCACAGTCATTATCAGCCAACAACAACAAGGTAAAAAACAAGAATACAAGGTCACCTGGGGTAGGAGCCTGTCCTACTACTAGGCACGTCCACCAGGTGGCGGATGGTGGAAAGGCCTCTAGATATAGAGGTTAGCCACGAATATATTGAATAAGTGGCCATGGACCAAAACAGGAGATGGTCATTGAGAGGAGGCGAGTTAGTTGGTGGGACAGCTAACTCTATAAAATACTTCAAAACTCTACGACATGGCCATCAGCGGGTAAGAGGCGCCATAACCTCTCCCTCCTGCTGCCTTGCAGGGTAAGTCTCTTCAGACAAAGGCTATTGGAGTAAAACCATATACAAACCGGTGGAAGGCAAGGGGAAACCACCGCTGTACTATCTATTGTCTTCTTCACTTTTACCGGGTTGCAGCCCAGTGTCGTGGTTTAAAATATTTGTTTTGTGCCTCTCGCGTGATTTGAGTGACAGTTTTCTGGATCTTCTGGCCGTTTTTAGCTACTCCATCTATCCATTTTTTCCTGGGTCTTCCTCTGGCCTTTCTTCCCGATGTTCTACTGTAAAAGGCCTTATAGGCAATCTGATCCGGATGCATTCTTACTAAATGGCCAAACCACTTCATTCTCTGTCTCTCAATATGTTTCATGCATGCTCTTGTTCCAACTTTGTCTCTAATGCTGACGTTTGTGACTCAGTCTCTTCGTGTATTGTTGGTGACTCTTTGGAGAAATCGCATTTCACACGTAGTTATTTTTTGCATATGTGATTTGTTCATTGTCCACGTTTGGCACTGATAACATAACGCCCCTCTTTATGCTTTGAAATGTACCTAAACAGTTGTTAATTCTTATAGCTGCTGTTTGCATGTTCTTTATTATTCGTAGATCTTTCCCATCAATGTTTAATTTTTCTAACAGTTTGATTACTTCTTCATGCTTCACACAGTCAAATGCTTTTGTATAGTCTATGAAGCATATGTACAAATCAGTCTTTACTTCTATAGCTCTTTCTGACAATGTCCTTAGGATGTATATGGCATTGTTTGTACCTTTTCCTTCTATAAATCCACATTGTTCATCACTGATTTCTGGTTTAATTTTGTTTCTTATTCTTCTCATAATTATTCTCAGTAAAATCTTAGCCATGTGACTCATAAGACTTATTGTGCGATGGTCTTCACATTTTAAAGGGCCTGGTTTCTTAGGCAGAGCTATAAATATGGATTTTAAAAGGTCAATTGGAATATACCCACTATTATAAATATCATTAAAAAGTTTAGTTATTATTTCAATTCCAAAATCTCCCAGTGCTTCGATTTCTTCCAGCGAGATGTTGTCTGGCCCGGGTGCTTTTCCTTTCTTCATATAATGTATTGCATCTTCAACTTCTGCAGTCATTATTGGTGGACCATCACTGTTGGTCTGCAGTTCTACATCTGGTCTATTATCGTCATACAATTCCCCTATATACTCTGTCCATCTGTTAATTATATTACTATGTCCCATTAATAAGTCACCATCTTTTGATTTTAAACATCCAGTGCTGTTACGTGTCATCTTTCCTGTTAACATATTTATCTTTTGGTACATGGACTGTGAGTCTTTCCTGTTGTTTTCCCCAATCTCTGTACACATTTGATTCAGCCAGGCTTCTTTAGCTACTTTGCATTTGTTCACTAATTCTTTTTGTATTCTAGAGTATTCTTTTTATCATTCTTTTTCTTCCTTCTTTCATCCATCAACTGCAGAATTTCGGTTGACATTTTCTTTTTTGCAACTCTATGGGTTGGTGGGATCGTCTCTTTAGATGTCTGCTGAATTGACTCATGCAACATATCCTACTGTTCATCAATAGTCTGTATATTTTCCATTGCATTATACCGGTGTTGTACAGTGACATTGTACTGGTCCTTAATTTCTTTATCCTTTCTAAGAATTCCTAAATTTAACTTGATGTTCTGTGATGTTTTTCTAATGTTCTTTAGTTTTATTCTAATTTTTCCTACAACTGGAACATGGTCACTGAAGCAGTCGGCTCCAGGTCTAGTTTTTGCTCCAACTAAGCTGCTTCTGAATCTTCTTGAAATCAAAATATAATCCATCTGATTGCGGACATTATCACCAGGACTTTTCCAAGTCCATAATCTTCGAGGATGGTGTTTAAACCCGGTGTTACCTATTATTATGCTGTGCGACTCAGCCCATGCTATTAATCTGTCACCTCTCACATTCTTTTCTCCTAGGCCATAGTAACCTGTTATTCCGTACACTTTTTCACTTCCTATTTTCGCGTTGAACTCTTCAAGTACCATTGTTACTTCACAATTTTTGCATTGATCAACAGCCATGTCTAACTCATCATAAAATGCGTCAATATCTTTCTCTGAACTATCTGCTGTTGGGGCATAAATCTGTACTAAGTTGATGTCAAACGGTCTGCCGCAAAGTTTTACTAATAGTACTCTATCTGATATTGTCCAAAATCCTTTCACAGTTTTTGAGTTCTTTTGATCCAAAATAATATCAACTCCCTTACTATATTCCTTCCCACCCGAGTAAATAATTCTGTACTGATCTCAATACTTTTCACCTGCTCCTGGCCATCGCATTTCACTAATTCCTAATATGTTGATGTTTATTCTTTTCATTTCCATCTTGATGTTATCCAACTTTCCGTTTTGTACGAGTGTTCTGACATTCCATGTACCAATGTTCATGATGTTTCTACCATTTACTTTTTCTACAGTAGCTGGATGACGGTCGGGTATCACCCGTAGAACATGATGCTCCCTACCGGACGAGGTGATTCCACTGGAATCCCCATTCACGTCATTATCTGAATATGTATTATTTTGAGGCATGATTTTCTTGGGATAGTACAGCGGATGACCAATGTTTGTTACAAGAAGAAGAACAAAAACTACAACAACATGTTGATTCATTGCTCACTAACTGTAAAAAATTTGACATGAAAATAAACACCTCAAAAACTGAAGTAATGACCATAGGAAAGAAACACAGTAATGTAAACATAAAGATCAATGACATACAATTAGAACAAGTTCAAGAATTTAAGTACTTAGGATGCATATTTACAGAAGATGGAAGACTCGATAAAGAGATACAGGCTAGAGTTCAAAAAGCCAATGCAGTCAACTACCAACTGGCCCCACTTCTTCGTCATCCAAAGATCTCATTACCAGCCAAACAACGGATGATCAACAGCATTTTCATCCCTTGGAGTGACCAAGAAACAAATTCTGTGTTGCATGGTATGCAAAGAGTTAAGATAGGCAATTCTGTGGGATTAGCTTACTTGCTTAATGTTATGTTTTCCTGCTAAGATATATGGTGTAACCAGAGACTACATGGTTTGTGTATTCCAGTGAAAAGGATTAATTTGGTGATGCTTCATTATACATTGACATCATTTCTTTAGTAATGCAACTGATGATAGGAAGTCTACCATGCTAAACAATAAATGATGCGGCTGCCATCAATTTCAAGAGCTATTTGGTTATTTCACAGATTGAATTTATTGAAGGGGAAACTCTGACTCTTCTGGATAATTCTGACAAGAAAAAGTGGAAGGTAAAATGTCTGTGTTTGTATGAGTATGTCTGTGTTCATACATGCATGAACAAATTATTCTGTTTACTTAAATGTGGATGTGAGAGAGATATGATATGAAATACAGAGTAGAAGAAATAGAGAAGTTAAGAGGAAACCCTGGAAACCTTCTTTATTCACTGCAGGCATCAAACTTTATCAGTCACCCTTGCACAGGTAGCAGCAGTGACACAGAATGCCTTGGTATAATACTTTTTCTTTCAAGGGATCTTTTTAAATTAAAATATTTTAATGCTCACCTCAAATTAGTGCAGCAGATTCAAGTATAAACATGGGTGGGGAATGACTAAAATCATTACAGACTGCAAACATTCATTAACTGCTGCCTAGACAGAAAAAAAAAATGATTACAATGGTATGACAGAATCATTACTGCAGAACTTTAGAGGAGAACAAAAAAAAAATAATTCAGTAAGTCATATTTGGAATGACCAAGAAGCATATTGTGAGAATAAAGAAATACAGCTTTGACGGGATTAAACAGACTGAGAAAATCTGATAGAAGTTTAACTAGAATGTTCTTTCACAAGAACCCACAGAGCAAAAGACTGATGTGAATTGTAGGATTGCTTAATACTGAGGAAAAGCAAAATGAACATACAGTCAGGCTAAAACTTTTGCCACTAGCTATTGGAACTCTGTGCTTGCTGCTGAAGAAGGAGATGTATATGTCTGTTTATTCGATGGATCAACATCATAGCACACGGGTGTAACCCATAAGAACTCAGTTCTACTTCTGACTCAAGCCTGAGTCTGAAGGAACTAATCTCAGTGCATGAACTCTATTTTACCAGTGAGGATCCTGAAATACTTTGGGTATATTTTCAACTCCAAAAGACCAGGGAAAATTACTAGAAGTCCACATGAAAAAAAAACCAGGACCTCCAGCACCTGAGGTGGACACCATACATTGAGACCACTCAGGCTCCTAACTTTCACTTTTAAGATACATGAGGAAGAGAATAAACTCCTTCAGTACTATGGAATTCACAAAGTTGTAATTGAATTGTCTTCATATGGTATACATTTTTTACCCTTTCTGTCCTGTTCTTATGTTCGATTAGTCCATTCTATCTTGATTGTTACTATAACTCTATTCGCTCCAAATCTGTGTTTTGCAATTCCATAAAACTAAAAACTGTTGATCTAAGGTAAGACACTTTGTGACAGACTGTTTAGGACTTAAAGAGTTGAAGACAGGAAGATAAATAATGTCAAGGTACCACTAATGATGATGTTGCTAGATTAAACAGAAACCTGAAAAAAAAAGGGGGGGGGGGGGGGGGGGGGGTAAGAGAAGCATTTTACATTTTTTTAATTCACATTGATTGATGACAATGGTAACTAGTGGGCTAGTTTAAATATGTGATGGTCGGCAACTTATTCCTGGAAGTGATGAGAGTTATTTCTCCATCAGTGCACTGGAGTTGGTTTAGTTTCATACGGTGAACACCAGAGAGATATTTGTGATAGTAAATTCAGTCGACATTGCATTGATAATATTCAAATGTATTCTGTATTCTTGATGCCAGGGGTGGGGAACCGTTTTTCTGTCAAAGGTCATTTAAATATGTTTGACTTCATGTGCTGGCCATTTAGTATTACCAGTTTCAAAACTGGCCTGCTGTATTTGGTCAAAGATTAATTGTGCTTGCCTTGACAGGGTCAGCCACAAATAATTTTGTGTGCTGTAAAGTGCCTATCTTTGTCTTCAACAGTGAAGTAACATAAATGGGGCTAGATGACTTAAACTGTCTTCGCTGTCTACCATACAGGTCAAGACAGAGACAGGGCAGATCGGCTTTGTCCCAGCAGTCATCATTCTTATTACAGGACCTTCAACTGATGCCTTTGATATTGCTGTTAGGTGAGAATTGTTTGCCAAATGTGTATTGAACAACGGAAGAATTTTTCAAGACAATAAATAAGCGCAAAGTTTACACATTGTGACACTCCTCAGAATTCATTTTGAACTGTACAGAAATTGTTTAGATATCTTAAGTAGTAGATAACAAAATGAATATGTTCCACTTCTTGAGGCATGTTAAGTACATAGTACTATAATAATAATTCTATATACTTAATTAACCCTTGAGGAGCGGCTGGCCAAATAATTGGAATGCTAGGCTCTTAAGCAGGAGACCCGGGTTCGATATCCTGGGTAAGGCTGGGGATTTTTTATGTCGGGGGCAAAATAAAATCCTCACCTGTACAGTCATGGCGGCGGCACTAGCCATGTGGCCGTAAATCCTCAGGCTCAAAGACACCCCCTTCCCTCCCCGACTACACCGCAAAAGTCGTAATAAAGGAAGTTATTGGCAATTAACCTTTACTAAGTTACAGGGTCAGTATAAAATTGACTGCCTTTACTTCCTTAAACATTTCCTGGGACCATTGATGAATGAGTTGGCCCCTGAGCCAGTGTCAGATTTGTTTTTGAGTCATCTTGGGGGGGGGGGGGGAAGAGGGGGGTGAATACATAACAATTGACCCAGATAGTGTTTTCTTCTAGGCTATAGTCCATGCTATAGATGTGTATCCTAAAGCAACCATTTGTTAGTCTCATAGAGCTGAAAAACAGTTTTTGTGAGGTAAGGGGCTATAATAACTACTGGAAAATAATAAATCAACATTTGAAAAGAATGGGATAGGAACAGTCCAGAAATTAATTAATACCATATATAGTGTAACCAATGAACTTAAGGTAAGTTTCTTGGTACTGAAAGAGTCAACATATGTTGTTTAGAAATTAATACATGGACTCTTATGTGTAGGCTGCTAAGGACCATTATTGTCAGTTGTGAAACATCAAAGACTTTCCCTTTTTGACCATTCAGTTTGCCATAGTTCATGGTCAGAAACTGTTCTCCATAATAGAAATGAATACAATTGACAAAGAGGCAAACAACACAAATCTTAAATTGGAAAAATGACATAATGGATTGGCTACACTCCTGTCATGTTGTGATTTATAAAATAAAAAAAAAAAAAAGGAGGGATTGCAGGCATGGTTCTTGGGAGAAGTGGCACCTATCAGCATGTCAGTCCCTGTTTTCTGCAGACTGAGACTTCAGCTTCTGGCTCTGTGGACCTCAAGTGTCAAATATCTAGGGTGTTACCTGATTGCTTTGATGTTGCTGATTTTCAGGGACTGGACTGAAGAAGAGGTAAGATCTCATTCAGTTTTCAATTAGATTTTGTAAAATCAAATCTGCCTGAGGGCCCACTGTAGCTCAAGGTCATGAAGTGGTATGAACATTTCTTTCTGTTTAGAGTAATTTATTATGATTAATTGTTCATTACAGAATTAACTTCATTACACATCAGCCATATCTATAAGTACTCCTGACTTCTCTCAAGCATGTTTCTTAGTGTGTTTATGCTGACGACTCTCCTTCTTCATTGGTTGATGACGCAAGTGGGTGCTTGTGCACGGTGGAAACCATGTACAGATGGTCCGATGGATACAGTCACCAGACTACATCCACAAGACTACATCCACCAGACTACATCCACAAGACTACATCAACAAGACTACATCCACAAGACTACATCCACCAGACTACATCCACCAGACTACATCCACCAGACTACATCCACAAGACTACATCCACCAGACTACATCCACCAGACTACATCCATCAGACTACATCCACCAGACTACATCCACCAGACTACATCCACCAGACTACATCCACCAGACTACATCTACAAGACTACATCCACAAGACTACATCCACCAGACTACATCCACCAGACTACATCCACAAGACTACATCCACAAGACTACATCCACCAGACTACATCCACCAGACTACATCCACCAGACTACATCCACCAGACTACATCCACCAGACTACATCCACCAGACTACATCCACCAGACTACATCCACCAGACTACATCCACCAGACTACATCCACCAGACTACATCCACCAGACTACATCCACCAGACTACATCCACCAGACTACATCCACAAGACTACATCCACCAGACTACATCCACCAGACTACATCCACCAGACTACATCCACCAGACTACATCCACCAGACTAGATCCACAAGACTACATCCACCAGACTACATCCACCAGACTACATCCACAAGACTACATCAACAAGACTACATCCACCAGACTACATCCACAAGACTACATCCACCAGACTACATCCACCAGACTACATCCACCAGACTCCAAAGGGAACAATTAAGGCACTTGTGTTTGTGGACTTTAGCGCATATGATCTCTCATATAGTAATAACTCTTTCAGTCCTGGAAGGTCATAGCTAATGCCTGAGGAAGGTTGTAATAACAATACCAAACTCATCAGTATACTACTTTCATAGGGTTCAGATACACACCCCTTGTAGAAAACATGTATGTTGTCAGAGTTCTTTGGAGTGCCAGACTTGATATAAGATGTTAAAACAAACTGACACTTTGATAGCTGCAAAGGGAAACTATCCAGTCACACATGGTGCATTTATTAAGAAAGAAAGAGTTAATTATGTTTTCTACTTTAAAATGTTTATTTTTATTGTTAATTTTTGTTGCATTATTTTTGTCGAATGAGGTAGCCTGTCTTATGCCAACCTTCCTTAGTCAATTTTATGACATGCATGATGGGTTACAGTGGTATTCCCCCGTGTGGATTCCGGGGCCCCATTGTGGGGAAAACAAGAATAGACCCACTGCCTCCCCAAAAGCATGTCGTAAGAGTCGACTAATTGGGGAGCTTCCTTTGAAATTGGAGTGCATCTGCCGGAGAGGCAAGGAACCAACAGTCTGTATTCAAGAGAATGAGATCTGTAAAACTGATGCACAAGCAACACTCAGGTTCTGGAGCAGGACTGCAGTTCAGTAGTGGAGGATCAACCAGAACTTTCCGCCTGAGTGTACAGCTGGTGAACGCGAAGAAGAAGACAGTGGTATTCTTTGCTTTCATTATGGGCACTGGTAAGACAGGTAAAAATGACACTGAGTAGTAACCACAAATAATAAAGGATGTGTTCCTCCAAAAGACCAAGCTCCTCAAAAGTTGGAGAACCTGAGACACACCTGGATGTTTATTGACACTGATACTGCTAAATGAGAATTTACCGTTAAACAACAGCAATGTAATCATCTATTTAGAGAGGAGCAGCAGAAAGAGCTTTTATAATGCATCTTTCTCATTCCAGACGTCGGGGTCTAAATACATGGCAAGACTCTGGAACGGTTTTCTGTCAGGGCCACACACACACATCCACTTACACACACCCACATACATGCACTCATAGATAATGTAACCTGCACAGTTCTTATTTACACTGCTAACTATAAACCCTTCTTCCACCCCCCACTCCACATCCTTCCCCTCACCCATCTCCCTTGCAGCAACCCTCCCATCATCCTGCATGGCCTTAAAATGAAGTAAATACTGGTAGTAAATACATTTTGTTATTATAGAATGATTTTCTATATTAAAACATTCCTATTGTTTCGTTTGTTAATAAAGACTGGTTGAAATGTTCTCTTGCTGTCTGACTCTGTTTCCTTTGACAAGATGTCTAGTTGCTTCTTTGTGCATGTTCCTTCAGGCCAAGCTCCTGCAGGCTATGGAGGATTCAGACAAGCAAGAACTCCTTAGGATTCTTTTGTTCATTGAAGAATCTCTTTCTAAGACTTGGAGTGACTATGATGATTTCAAAGAATTGCAAGAAAGGATAGCCCGACTAAGGAAGATTTTAGGAGCAGCTTCAGGTAAAGACAGTAAAAAACAATAGTTTCTTTCTCTGTTTTAATTAATTTTGTAGCTGGGTTCTTACTCACTCAAATCAGCTGTGTGTAGGCATGTCCAATTTATGTTTTGTATAAACACTAGATTTAATTGTCCAGTCAAACCCCAGGTAGTGAAAAAAAATCTCTTCTTTTTTCCCATCCTCTATTTCATCTTTGTCTCCACTACTGTCCTATGCGTACATCTAGTACAAATAGGGGACTAACTAAAACCCTATATTTAAAATCCTGTCTTCTACTTCATCTTTGTCTCAACCACTGCCACATATATTTAGTCATTGCCCCTAGGTGCACCAGAGGCATATCCTGTAATATAACACCAACATTTATCAGTTTAGAAGGCAGATAAATGGATTGCTCAGACACATAGAGATATGTGGATTAAGGACAATAACAGTGAAATATAATTTTTTTTTAAAATTAATTGTTTGAGGGAAGTAGTAGAAAAACATTTAAAGAGATATAAATCCAATGAAATTTTACTTTTTCTGATTGTCACAAAAAACAAAGAAATACACAATAAGCTAGGCTGCCAATGTGACTGTTAAATTAAACATTGTAGTCATAATGGCAGATGAAACTTTAACCCATGTATTGGTCACAGTTTGAGAGGAGTTAACATTTCATTTATAACTAGCTGTACCTGGCCATGCATTGCTGTGGCCCAGTCTGGTGAAATTGAAAAGAAAGAAAAGAGAAAGTGTACATGTCTGATATGTCTAATGTCTTAATGCCTGTGGGTATTCACTATTCTATGTTGTTCCATTGTCTGTGTAGATATAAAGATTGTCTAGTTTGCCAACTCTAGAACATGCAACGTATAACTGTCCATGTGAGCAACAGTTCTAAAGATTGGGCCTCAGCCTTGGTGATGGTAATTGCAAACGCCAATCGAATTAGAAATTGCAATCTCGGACATTGAAACGGCATATCCGATGGAGTCATAGGAATGCAAGGTATGAGGACATCTTCACCCTTGAAAGGTCCTGTCAAGACTGTAGCTTCAGCGATGGTGCTCAGTAAGTTTTTTACTAAAGGCTGTGCTCAGTAACAAAGCTTTAGCTGGTTGATATGTTGCAACATGATAATTGGCATGCTGATTTTCAACTGCAGTACGTAAGGTGACATCTCTGTCAGATCGAGAGAAATATCTGTTGGATAATTAACCGTTTCATCGGCTTCTACAACAGTGTTGATGGACTGCCTTACTTTGAATGCTAGACTGAATAAAATTTTTAAGCTTGTAGATATCTTTGTTTCTGGCCGCAAGAATAGTTCGTTCACTCAGCCAGTCGTGATTCTTATCATTGGTGTGAATATTGGGAAATACTTTGTCAACCATTTCATCTTTTGACGCCACTAAATTGCAGAGGTTATGAGGCAATGAAATTCGTCCTGAGGTCAGATCAGCCGGCACCTTCCCTATCCCAGTGTCCAGCAATTGATGTGAAAATATCTCAGCTGATGGATCGTTATATATATATTTGTAGTTAATGTTAATGTCTTTATGTGTCTCCACAAAGTAGAGTATTTCAGGCAAGCATTTACTTTATCAGCTGGTGTCGATCAAGGAATTACAGGTAATGTTTGCCTAAAATCTCCTGCAAGCAATATTAATGAAACAATTGACTGTATCTCAAAATGTGACTGTCTTCATTCTCACGAATCATTATTCAGTATGAATAAAACTTCATTGCACTGCATTTCATATCTGTATATTCACCACTGACTGGATTTATCATCTTAATGTTGAAATGATAACAATCGGCACCATCCTTAAAGACAGAGCAGTTCCACAGTCATTTGCAATGGAAAATAATTAAAAAAAAGAAAAAAGTAATACATGCAAAACAATGGAAAAAACAAAAATTCAGTACACTCACAAAATGAACGCAATAATAAATGGCACAGCTCAATTCCAAACATTGATTGGAAAGAAGTAATGATAGTACTCACTAATTACTAATCTCTCAGGCCAATGTCTTTGATTTGATTTGATTTGATTCAAGAACCGACATCAGAGCACTTGGGGCATTTCCATAAGTGTTCCGTCATCATCTTCAGCAGCCAGCGAAGAGTTCCAATACTAATGGTGCCAGCAGCATTCTGTTTAAACATCCGTCTTGCCTTTCCTCTAAGCCTCGAGAATCTGCCAGAACCTCTCGTCACTCCCACCTGCATCAGTTTCACGAGACTGTGGCAATCCATCTGTTCTTCTGAACTGTACATGCTCTCCCACAAGTCACTAACCACGTCTGCCTTATCATGCATCAGTATTCCACCAAGCTATGCAGAGCCAGCCAGTCTGTCCACCTGTTCATTTCTAAACACACCAGAGTGACCAGGTGAAAAAATCCAGACAATACTCCTCACCTGTGTCCTTTGCAGTGAAGCATGCCACTGCACGAAGCATGCCTGTCCTGATTTTTCTCAGCATGCTTTCTGAGTCAGTTACAATCACGATATGTATGTGTGTCCTGTTATCTAAATAGCAGAAAGCTGCAGTGACCGTCTCCACCTCCATTCTTAAGCTGGATGTTGTGGTATTATATGCTAGGCTCTCCTGCACCAAATGTCGACCAATAACTTTTGCTAAGAAACCCCAAGCACTTCTTTTGCGTCTTGACACTGAACCGTCTGTGTAAATGATCAAATCCTCTGAGTGAGCATTATCTTGAATTAGTTGCTGAATTTCTACCTCTATGGCACCTGCTGGCCAGTCTCTGCATTCCCGGCTCAGTGTGATTATGACCCTACACAAGTCTGACTGTTTCTGGTGGCACTTTGACCCACTCCTTTCCTCGCCTAATGTTCTCAAGGATGCAAACCTGTCTGATTGTGTCTTTTGCGGGAGCCATCTATGACTTCCCCCTTATCAGCAGCTGACCCTTAACTGCACCCAGAGTTTCGTGCAAAGGCTGATCTGTGTCTGCAGACCAAGGTCTTTCAATTTCTATATATTCATTCAACTCGTCATGCACGTAAAAAAAAATGTATATCTTATACAGCTGTATGCAGAATAGTTCAAGCACAGATCAATCAACACAGTTTAAGTCTTCCGACATTTGGAATAAAAATTAATAGAAATAGTGCCAGCAGAATTGAAAACCTGCGCTGGGAAGGCGGTTAAGAAAATAAAAACCAATGTGATCGTTGCTGGAGCTATTTAGTTTGTGCTTTGTGTGACACTTTTATACCAAAACATGCACGTATTCGATGTTGTATCAAAATTTGAAAGCAATTGGTGAATAAATTTAGGAGATTGGCTGTAAGAAACAACGAAACATTTACATTTTTATTGATATAAACACACAAAATACAGAAAGGGTTTGTGATTTATAATATAGATGAACTGATTGTTGATATTTTCATTTCAAGAAAATACTGACATTACTGTAATGACTTTTTATAGGTGCAAGAGAAGATGACCAAGTTAGAGATGATCTTAGATAAAGTTTTATTAAAACTATTGAAAACATGGATTTTCCCATTTTATTACCTTTAAATGTCTGTTTTAGGACTTTTCATCAGATTTTAGGGGAACTAGTTGTATTTTGGTTTTCTTTGACTGGACAAAGACTTGTGGCTAAGACAATATGAAAATGCTTACAGATGACCACATTGATATGATAATTTGTAAGGCTAAGACCTTGGGTAGGTAGATAAGTTGTACCCCACCAGACAAATGACAAACACCCGGTGACACAAAGTGCCACCATGCAGATGAGGATCACCCATGGGGAAGTCCTGGAAACCCTGTTTAGCCGTTAGGCCATATTTAAGGGCCAGCTTTATTTAGTTCCCCCTGCAAAAGCTAGGGCGGGGCTTTAAAATAATAAAAAAATTGCATTCCACCTGGGGATGATGTGTGTTAATAGAGCTTAGGCTTGTAAAAAGCAAATATACGTGAACCAAAGGCCTATAATAAGATAATACGTTAAAAAAAAAGATACTGCCTTAAATTTGACAATGAAGTAGGTTTTTATCCGCAAATCATGACAGGTGCATGACAGCAGTGTGTATGTAAAGTCACCCTGACCAAGTTTAAGACAAAATGTCAAAAACATAACGTCAGCCATGATGATACAAACAATTAAAGGAATATATCCTGCATTCAGCAAATATTGACGTTGTTCACTGTGAGAAAATACGATTAAAATAAAAACTTAAGTGCAGCATCCAAGTAAAGGGGGATAATCTTAAATGTAGGAAGTGGTTTACCCATCTTGAAAAAGCCATGTAATTGCTAAACAATGTCTTGTAGCAATTAGAACAAGAATCTACATGGAGAAAGTCCCTTCTGGCAAGATGTAAAACATGCAACAATAAAAACTGGCCTATATAGTACCGTTCAGAGAAGAAGAACACAGGCTTGGTTTGAGGCTCAGTAACAAATGGTGACCAACAACTTGTATGCTTCCTGGTACATAATGATGAAAATTTTAAAGATAACGATTAAAATATTACCCTTTAGCAGATGCAGCCACTGGGGTTGGAAGTGTTAGGCCTTCACATATTCTAGGCCAGGGCTATTCAACTAGCGGCTCATAGGCCAAACCTGGCCCACAGAGGCCTAGTTAGAGGCCCACTGATCATTGCCAGTTGTTTTGTATTAACGATTTTTCTATGCTGGGGCATGGGCTACTGGCATGTGACAATCCCCATTTTCAACATGTTGGTCTGTTTAAATTTAGTTGAATAATCCTGTTCTAGGCCTCTATATAAAAGATAGGGTGACCAGTTCTCTTCCTTTTTGCCTTTCACTTCATAGGCCATTTTGAGGACACTTTAATGAAAAAAAATTGTGAGAAATGTATTAGTGAATGAGATAGTTGTGAGTTGAGTTATCCTCACAGCACTCCGGACACGTCAATATGGGTTCGGATTTCCCCGTTCAACACATTCATCAGCATCCCGCAGTTAAATAGTGCCAGTCCTGTGCTGATTAACAAAGCTTTCTGTACGTCTAGTGTGCCTCTCATGCTTGACTGTGCTAATCTTTACTCCAAATTCTCATATTCTTGGCAGTGATGTGGACATACTTCTCCCAAAATCTTCAGATTCTCTTATCTCTCTAAGACTATTAATAATGTCAGCACTATCCATAGGTTGACCATCTGAAACTAAGGCAGAACCAGCCAGTATATCATCTCTTTCATTGCAAAGAACACTTGCACATCCTAGGAAAAAAATGAACATAACTAATTGTATTAGTGGATATTGATTGGATGCGCAAAATTATAATTCTCTTTTTAAAAGCTGATTCATCATTCAAAATAAGGATACTAGAGAAACATCCTCCACCAAAAGATAACAGGGATGAACAGCCAGAAAAATAGGGACTTCAACTCTGAAACAAGTAAAATCATCAAAGGAAACTATAAACATAAACCTCGCAAAATCCTGTCTAATATTATGGTGTATTTACCATTCTCAGGTGGGAGTGGCAACAGCCTGTCTACAAGTTTGATTACTCAAGTGAAGCTACTTGAAAGTCTTCTGATCAAATACAAGGTAAAATATGCATAAATGACAAGTAGTAGGAGTAGCAGCAGCAGTAGCAGTAGTAGTAGTAATAGTAGCAGTAGTAGAAGCAGCAGCAGCAGCAGAAATTTTAAGGTCAGCGGTTATAGTAGTTTTAGTGGTGGTGGTGATGATGGTAGCAGCAGTAGCAGTTGCAGCAGTGTTAGGAGCAATAGTAGCAGTAAATGAGTTAGTAACAATAGTACTATAAGACATATTCTATTAACTCTTTCAATAACAGGGGTTTAGCATAAGAGAACAAAGGGGTGGTAATTTCAGGAGTGTTACACATAAAACAGACCATACTAATACAGCTGCTGTACAACATACATTAGGTAAATAGGGCTAGACCTATATTTTATAGACCAAACAGTACTTGGTGGGTGATGTGGTCAGCATCACATAGGCCACCTTACTTCCCAGCACTGCACTTGATACCCACTCAAGGCTGGGTCAACCTGGGAGCCAAGGTCATTTTTGAAAAATGTTTGCCCCGACAGGAACCGAACCCATGACCTTCTGAATCGCAGGCGAGCATCTAGCTACTAGACCATGGTGGCTCCCCTTACTAATTTAAAGCTATATTTAAATAGGGTATATAGAGATAAAATATTTTTATTGCTTGTCAGGACTTCTGGGCTTTCTGGGAAGCATTCAAGTGTATAGCTGAGATGTTGAAACAACCAAAGTTTTTGTTAGTCTGTGATAAATGGGACCAACTCAAGTTTGTTACTTCTGCACACTTTGTGAAGTAAGTATTTGATGTCATTTTGTGTGTCTAAGCCTCTTTACTTTTAAACATGTGATGCTCTCATCTCTACTCTTGTTCCTTTTTTACATTGTGACATCAATGTGAAATTAAAATAAGGGACTATGTCTGTTTTTGGAGGTTTTGAGCTGCAAACTCTGGTAGCTACAGCACTGCAGACACTTACTTGTTATATCTGAACCCCAGATAAGTACATCAGCATCATGTGCACACATGGTACAAGAAATGTCTTCAGTGAAATTAAGATGATCTCTACAGTGTACTCCTCCAGCACATTGACAGATAATTCAACAAAGAAAGCTTGAACATAAATAAATGTCAGGAGCACTAAACTGCTGATAAGAAATGTTTATTTGCTCCAGTGTTGTTCACCACTGTCAGTGAGTCAGAGGTTAGTTGTCTAGGTACAAAGGTTACTCAGGAATGATCTTATCTTCTTCTTTCGTTCACCTGAAATAAGTTATCTATATCAGCAGTTTTGCCTCTTGTATAAATATCACTGTCGTTGTTAGTTCATTCAGTGGTCCATAGAGCTTACGTTCCACTGTTGTTCTTTCTGGCCAAAAGATTTGCCTTAATTCATCAAATTCGGTGCAGTCCTGGAGTACATGCTCTGCTATCTGGGGCACATTTCCACAGGTGCACATGGCTGATACACCTATCTTGAATTTTGTGTACATGTGGTTACGTAGTAGGTTGTGCCCTGTTCTGAGGCGGAGGATATGACTTGTTCTGGTCTGTCCATAATAAAATAGTCGTCTTGTGCTGGGGCTGGTGGTTTCCTGATCGATTTAATTATTCTTTTCTTTTGGTGGTATGTGACTGGTACTGAATTATCTTATGATAATCATTACCTGGACAAGAGTTCTCAGTTTCAGCACTTCCCACTATTGCACTACAGAATTACCAAAACTGCATTCAACAAATTACCAATTTTACAGCAGATTAACTTCCTCCAAATCAATTTGTCATGGAGTCATAGCCAAATTTTCCTCAGGGAACAGGCAGGCAGCTTGTGACATTCACTCCCTATATGACTAAATTTGACTCAGGCATTCCAAGTGCCATGAGACCAATCACTCACTGGATCAGAAACAAGACTAAGCTTTTCTTATTTGCTCCATGTTTAAATAATATATTCTACTCCTCATGCACTGCAAAGTTTCACTCACAGTTCATGCTTCTTTCATGTGGCACAACTTGTCCTACCTGCATGTTCTGCTATGGCCCACTCGATACATTTTACCCATACATTATAATTAATAATCAACACCATCCATTCACACTCTTGCTCATAATTTCTGTTTAGTGGTTGTTATCTTATTTTCAAACAAAGAGAGAATTTCCCAAACAGTGAGAAAATAACTTCTTACGACCACACCAAACTGTTATACAAGATGTGTTTGAATTACATATAAATGATTGTATTATTCATTTTCTGATGTTGTTAAAGGGTAATGTTGAGAGGATTAACTTTATTGCACCGGGTTTCATCCAGTATGGGCTAATCATAATCTATCATGGCTTGCCGCCTGTTGAGAACATCGCAAAAAAGCATAACACTGCAGCTCTGATGATGATCCCCAAGGGTTTCTGCAAACGTTACACTCTTGAACTAAACAGCAACATGAAATTAGCCCAGGGACAAAGCAAAGGGCTTGACCTCTTTGTCATTGATATCCCCAAATCTGATGGGATGACAGTCTAACCATGTTCTGGTTGGATGATGATATTTTTTGCCTTCTGTTAGGTTCTGATTGGCTATAATTTTGTCAGATTATCATCTGACTTACAATATATGTATTACCCAATTGTTGGCTGTAATTTGATACTTGACCAAAAGCTAGTTTGTAATGTGTGAATGTTTCAATTATTGACCAGTTGCATCTTTTGCTTAGTTGTAAAAGCTAAGAACTGACATCAGTGCACTCAGTACATTCCCATACTTACTCTATTCTCATCTGCAGCAGCCAGCAAAGAGTTCCAGTTCCAGTGATGTCAGTAACAGTTTATTATATGGTCATATTTCCTTTCCTCTAAGTGTAGAGTGTTGACCAAATCCCCTGGTCATTCTTCAGGCCAAAAAGATATATTTGTGTCTCCAGGTTGTTCACTTGCTCCCAGAGTTGTGTCTCCAGGTTGTTCACTTGCTCCCAGAGTTGTGTCTCCACGTTGTTCACTTGCTCCCGGAGTTGTGTCTCCACGTTGTTCACTTGCTCCCAGAGTTGTGTCTCCACGTTGTTCACTTGCTCCCAGAGTTGTGTCTCCACATTGTTCACTTGCTCCCAGAGTTGTGTCTCCACGTTGTTCACTTGCTCCCAGAGTTGTGTCTCCACCACGTTGTGTTCATTGTTCACTTGCTCCCAGAGTTGTGTCTCCCACTTGCTCCCAGAGTTGTGTCTCCACGTTGTTCACTTGCTCCCAGAGTTGTGTCTCCACATTGTTCACTTGCTCCCAGAGTTGTGTCTCCACATTGTTCACTTGCTCCCAGAGTTGTGTCTCCATGTGTTCACTTGCTCCAGAGTTGTGTCTCCATGTTGTTCACTTGCTCCCAGAGTTGTGTCTCCATGTGTTCAATTGCTCCCAGAGTTGTGTCTCCACGCTGTTTACTTGCTCCCAGAGTTGTGTCTCCACGTTGTTTACTTGCTCCCAGAGTTGTGTCTCCATGTTGTTCACTTGCTCCCAGAGTTGTGTCTCCATGTTGTTTACTTGCTCCCAGAGTTGTGTCTCCACATTGTTCACTTGCTCCCAGAGTTGTGTCTCCACGTTGTTCACTTGCTCCCAGAGTTGTGTCTCCACGTTGTTCACTTGCTCCCAGAGTTGTGTCTCCATGTGTTCACTTGCTTCCAGAGTTGTGTCTCCATTTTGTTTACTTGCTCCCAGAGTTGTGTCTCCACATTGTTTACTTGCTCCAGAGAGTTGTGTCTCCATGTGTTCACTTGCTCCCAGAGTTGTGTCTCCATGTGTTCACTTGCTCCCAGAGTTGTGTCTCCACGTTGTTTACTTGCTCTTAGAGTTGTGTCTCCATGTTGTTCACTTGCTCCCAGAGTTTTGTCTCCATGTTGTTTACTTGCTTCCAGAGTTGTGTCTCCACATTGTTCACTTGCTCCCAGAGTACTGTCTCCACGTTGTTTACTGCTGCCAGAGTTGTGTCTCCACATTGTTCACTTGCTCCCAGAGTTGTGTCTCCATGTGTACACTTGCTTCCAGAGTTGTGTCTCCATGTTGTTTACTTGCTCCCAGAGTTGTGTCTCCATGTGTTCACTTGCTCCCAGAGTTGTGTCTCCACGTTGTTCACTTGCTCCCAGAGTTGTGTCTCCACATTGTTCACTTGCTTCCAGAGTTGTGTCTCCACGTTGTTCACTTGCTCCCAGAGTTGTGTCTCCACATTGTTCACTTGCTCCCAGAGTTGTGTCTCACTTGCTCCCAGAGTTGTGTCTCCACATTGTTCACTTGCTCCCAGAGTTTGCTCCCAGAGTTGTGTCTCCACGTTGTTTTCACTTGCTCCCAGAGTTGTGTCTCCATGTTCCACATTGTTCACTTGCTCCCAGAGTTGTGTCTGCTCCATGTTGTTTTCATTTGCTCCCAGAGTTGTGTCTCCATGTTGTTTACTTGCTCCCTGCTCCAGAGTTGTGTCTCCCCAGAGTTGTTTGTCACTTGCTCCCAGAGTTGTGTCTCCACATTGTTCACTTGCTCCCAGAGTTGTGTCTCCACGTTGTTCACCTGCTCCCAGAGTTGTGTCTCCATGTTGTTCACTTGCTCCCAGAGTTGTGTCTCCATGTGTTCACTTGCTTCCAGAGTTGTAAGTTGTGTCTCCATGTGTTCACTTGCTTCCAGAGTTGTGTCTCCACGCTGTTTACTTGCTCCCAGAGTTGTGTCTCCACGTTGTTTACTTGCTCTTAGAGTTGTGTCTCCATGTTGTTCACTTGCTCCCAGAGTTTTGTCTCCATTTTGTTTACTTGCTTCCAGAGTTGTGTCTCCACATTGTTCACTTGCTCCCAGAGTAGTGTCTCCACGTTGTTTACTTGCTGCCAGAGTTGTGTCTCCACGTTGTTCACTTGCTACCAGAGTTGTGTCTCTATGTGTTCTCTTGCTCCCAGAGTTGTGTCTCCATTTTGTTTACTTGCTCCCAGAGTTGTGTCTCCACATTGTTTACTTGCTCCCAGAGTTGTGTCTCCATGTGTTCACTTGCTCCCAGAGTTGTGTCTCCATATGTTCACTTGCTCCCAGAGTTGTGTCTCCACGTTGTTTACTTGCTCTTAGAGTTGTGTCTCCATGTTGTTCACTTGCTCCCAGAGTTTTGTCTCCATTTTGTTTACTTGCTTCCAGAGTTGTGTCTCCACATTGTTCACTTGCTCCCAGAGTACTGTCTCCACGTTGTTTACTTGCTGCCAGAGTTGTGTCTCCACGTTGTTCACTTGCTACCAGAGTTGTGTCTCTGTGTGTTCTCTTGCTCCCAGAGTTGTGTCTCAATTTTGTTTACTTGCTCCCAGAGTTGTGTCTCCATGTGTTCACTTGCTCCCAGAGTTGTGTCTCCACGTTGTTCACTTGCTCCCAGAGTTGTGTCTCCACATTGTTCACTTGCTTCCAAAGTTGTGTCTCCACGTTGTTCACTTGCTCCCAGAGTTGTGTCTCTATGTGTTCTCTTGCTTCCAGAGTTGTGTCTCCATTTTGTTTACTTGCTCCCAGAGTTGTGTCTCCATGTTGTTCACTTGCTCCCAGAGTTGTGTCTCCACATTGTTCACTTGCTCCCAGAGTTGTGTCTCCATGTTGTTCACTTGCTCCCAGAGGGCCTTATTTTGTATGTGTTTACAACATGTTTTGTTTCTTTTATTGATGAGTAATGTCAGTTTTATAATTTAAATTATTTATTTATCAGTAGTTTATGATTGCATGGTTGCATCTTTCTTTCAGTGGGCTCAGATTGTATTCTGTCATATAATGATAGATTATGATTGCATGATTGTGTATCTTATTAATAGATTCTGGGACACACAGTTAGACCTGGAACAGAATAAAATCACCAAATCTGATGCTTCCCTGGTCCTGCAAGAAGCAGCCAATGAGGACTTGGTCAACAGTGAAGTGACCATTGAAGAAAAAACAGAAGAGACAACAACAGACACTGTAAGTGATCATTTCCTTACAATTTATTTCTTTAGGGAAATGATTTTATTGTTGGTTATTTTGTTATTTAGTTTTCACTTACATAATGTAGAGAAATGTATATATTTTTTTTTTTTTTTTTTTAATTTGTTCCCTGAGCTACAGAGTTCATGGTCTATGCAATGCTCTTGACAGTTGGCTCGCTGTTCTGTAGAGAGAGACCAAGTCATATGGGATAAATACCAGTTGATCACTTTGACTTTTAACCTTGTAATAAGGTGCTTTGCATGGTCTCCACAATTACACTGGAGCAAGCAGAAAGTCCGTGCTAAAAGTGACGGCATGAGATACTTGTGGCTAGTAAAGTAAGCGAGGGAAAGCCCAAGCTAGCCTCGTGGTCAGTTGGTTACCAGAAGTTGTAGAAGACGGTTGTGTTAGCAGAAGATGTAGTTCTTATGTCGCGCGAATGACTAGTGTTTGAATATGTCGCAAGTGATGGAAGTTTGAATAATTGTTGGAGCATGTTGAATAAATGTAACGGAATAAACTGATAGCATGTACAAGGAAGCTGAGCGGCGTTGTGTTATTAATCCTAGAGGTAAAAGCAGTGCGAATTAATCATCCAGCGAGTGAGCCATGGCGAGAGCAGATATGTCGTAAGCCAAGGTGAAAAATGGTGTGTCCATAAAGCACGCACCAGCATATAGTTTTGTGTAATCTATGCCCCGCCACAGATGGTATCACCAAGTTTTGTTGGTTCAGGAAGTTTCATGTTCACCAAAGCTACACATCGTAAATATTTAAGTCCAGTTTGTGAATTAAATCCAGTTTATGACTAGTACTGTTCTGCTGAAACTAGCAGACTACATGTTTGTATAAAACATGAACTAAGTTCAGACACCAAGTTACGCTAAGTTTTCTAACCACAGTGACATTTGTGCTATCAATTGTGTGTTTATCAGAATGTCAGCTAAAAGGTTGGTGAAACGTAAGATCAGCTCTTTGCAAATAGTATCAGTGACAACAACGAAAGATGCATCAATAAGCAACCAGAAGATCAACACGTGTATATTTTGTAATTACTAGCACAGTTCTTCAGCTAACTGACAGGAGCGCTACGTATAAAGACTATCTGAGGGACTTGGTCAATAAGAAATGGCAAAATAAACAACTGCAACCCTAAAAAAAATGCAATTTTTGTGCAGCAATGGGCCATGTTGTAAAACATTGCGTGGGTAAGCAAATGCTAAGAGAGAAGAAAAGATCAATGTATGCTAAATATAAGTAGGAAAGCATGGATTTAGAACATAATATATCTCCAGTGCTAGAAAAGGAAACAGCTCCACGTTTAATCTCAATAGGACAGGCCAAATGAAATGTCCAGGAACTAAAAAGGTAAAGAACGAAATTGTGATTGCAGAGCTAGAATCCAGGTTAGGTTAAGTTAGGTTAAGTTAAATACCTAAAGAGTGCTTATGTAAATAAGAATCAAACTAATGATGATGTATTTTTTAAAAGTGCATAGACACCTGATATGATTTATTAAAAAGTTGCCACATACTGTGTGTATGAAACATCTTCCATATAATTCCATTACTAATTATTTTAAAGATGGCAAATCAGTGTATACAGTCACAAGCAAGACAAGTGAAGCGAAAAAGACAGCAGCCATTGAAACAGTGAGTAAGTCAAGTTCAAAAACTATGGAAATTAATCAGCCAAACACAAACTTTTCCAGAAATGAAATCTTCTAAATCTGATTCAGCCAAGAGGTACAATCAAGGAAAAAGTGAATTGGAAACTCATTGTATGAAAAAGACAGACTGTGAAATACTAATGGATAGACAAACTGGGGATAAAGAATTTCATTATTTGGATAAGGATAGAAGCATACCTACTAATCAGATGAGGATAAGCCCGAAACATCAAGAGAAAATAACTAGATGTCTTATTAACAACAAACCAGGTTAAATGCAAATTAATGAAGATACATACTTCAATATAGTACGGGATAAAATGTTAAAACCATCAGATTATAGTGGAGAATTTGTATTTTATTTCAATGATGGCCAGAGGGTAAAGCTACCAACAGCGTATATATATCTAAAATCACTATATATGACAAAATCAATGAAAGTTGTTGCAATGAGAGTCCTTTCGACAGATGTGATTCTAGGAGATTGGAGAGATATCAATGACTGTTCTGAAGAAGATATAACAGCCTGGGAACAAATGCATCTCCTTCAACAAAAATAAGAACAGCTGAATTAAGAAAAAGTACCATCTATTTTTATAAACTATATCATCATTTACTAACATGAAACCACACGGTCCCTCAACCTGAATATCAACAAGATAACATTATCATACATGAAGTTCAAGATTATCAATCATGAAGATACAGAACCACCTTCAACCAAACGATCAGTGGTAAACCTGAACAACCAGCAGAAATTGACATGTTACCATTCTTCACTGTCACAACTGGCATCGTTCAACCAAAGCCAGATATTAACAATCTGTACTGTTCGATGAATGAACAGAAACATATCAGCCATTGAATTTTTCAAACTTGAAAAATCACTATCTGGGAACATGAAATTATTGTATCCAGAGACCTTAAAATCATCGACGATTGAAACCTCTCAGAATCATCAAATATTAGTCGACACTTCAAGAGCATCTATACTAATCGACATCAACAGCGTCGAATACCGAACGTATCAAAAAAAAAGAATGCTATAATAATAAAGCATTCTGACAATTTAAACGTAATCAAGAGACAACAAAAATGTCAGTATTTCTAGTGTTGACATAATTGTGTCATTGACTGTGAAAGTTAGGTTAAGTTAAATACCTAAAGAGTGCTTATGTAAATAAGTATCAAACTAATGATGATGTATTTTTAAAAAGTGCATAGACACCTGATATGATTTATTAAAAAGTAGCCACATACTGTGTGTATTGAACATCTTCCATATAATTCCATTACTAATTATTTTAAAGATGGCAAATCAGTCTATACAGTCACTGAACACTGGTGATAGCATTGTGTCAACTGTTAAAATTATAGCAGATTTTTAGTCCGTATATTTGCAAGATTATCAGTGCTAGCCTACCAAGAGAGGCCTCAGAGCAGAACAGACTGTGGAGGGAACCAAGGAATGAGAACCTTGAAAGCAAGCTTCAGATTACAAACAGGACACACAGCCTGCAGTGTTGGAGCAAGATCAAGAATAGATAACGGAATAAACGGGAATGAAAGAAAATAAAACAGTTATGAATGATGAATGAAAGATTTGTGAGTAGTATTTTAAACTAATTAATAGTGTACATTTATTTCACCTAATTTATTAGTTCATTACTATTTTACTATACATGTAATAAGAATGACAGTGTTAGTAGTTTAAAAGTTAGAATAAAGAAGAAAAACCTAGGGGGAAAAAAATGAAATTATTGAGATTTAAAACAATAGATAATATAGGAAAATTGTTTGTCCACAGAATGACTTAGATCAAAAATTTAATTTGAAATGTTTTAGCATAGGTACACAGCACAGGGACATGGTAAAGTTGTCCATGACACCCAAGATTATAAACTGCTATAGTTATACTGATGCTGACTAGACAGACTGATGGTAAAGAAAGAGTGCACACATCAAAGCACAAGCACAGTAGAAGAGTTGAGCTCATCTGTGTTCATCTAAAGGGAGAAAGGTTCTTGGGACTCCTTGGAGTTAACTACTCTGTTAAAGGTGATGTAGAGACTGGTGAGGAAACCCTGAACTCTATTAAAAAGCATCCCAATAGTCATTGTTTTCATGAGATTCCTTGGGGGTTAACTACCCTGGTAAAGGTATATGCTTGGGGGACACTCTAAGATCTATGAATATATCTCAACTTTCATTGTTTTCATGTTGGATTTCTTGGGGTTGGGTAATTAGCCTGTAAAAGGTGTTATAGGGGCTTTTAAGAAATTGGAAGCACTATGATAAAAATATCTTACCACTATCATTGCGGCTGAGAGTCCTTGGGGTTAAATACCATGTTAAAGGTGATATGGAAATATTCAATTTTCTATGTAGTAAATATCTCAAAGCTGACCATCATCATCACCATCATCACAATGATCATCATTTCACTTGAACCTGATAGAATAGATATAGTGACGAAGCTATACTACAGATGCAATAGGTGCAAAGATGAGATACCCTTCACCAGTTCAGTACTTGAAAAAGCGTACAGTAAAAAGTTAAAACCAAGGGCAGTAATTAGGGGTAATTAGGAACGGTAATTCCTAGTAGTGCAGTTTAAGTTCCATTGATTCATTTATCAGTTGAATGGAAAATGATACTTGATTAAGTATCATTTTGTTAAGAAGGGGGGAGGATGTGATGAGGTGCTTTGCATAGTCTCCACGATTACACTGTGGCAAGCAGAAAGTCTGTGCTACAAGTGACGGCACAATATACTTGTGGCTAGTCGAGTAAGCGAGGGAAAACCCGAGCTAGCCTCGTGGTCAGTTGGTTACCAGAAGTTGTAAAAGACGGTTGTGTTAGCAGAAGATGTAGTTCTTATGTCACGTGAATGACCAGTGTTTGAATATGTCGCAAGCGATGGAAGTGTGAATAATTGTTGGAGCATGTTGAATAAATGTAACGGAATAAACTGATAGCATGTACAAGAAAGCTGAGCGGCGTTGTGTTATTAATCCTAGAGGTTAAAGCAGTGCGAATTAATCATCCAGCGAGTGAGCCATGGCGAGAGCAGATATGTCGTAAGCCAAGGTACATGTCAAGTGACGTGGAAAGCCACAACTCCTTTCGAATCATTCAAGGTTCATTTCAAGATAGTAGAAAGCCACGGTTTATTCCAAACCTTTACTTTTCTGTCTTTAATTCTCTTCTGCTGGCTTGCTGTGTTCTCATGTTATTCTTGTTGCATCAGGTGACTTCAACTCTGGAAGAGGAACAGCACACATTTATCATCAAGGGTGTCCTTGATCCTCGTGATAACAGCACTCAGCTGACCTTGGAGCAGGCAGTGTCCCTTGGCATTGTGGATGAAACTCATAAGCTTTATGTAAATCCCAAGACAGGAAAGGTATTCTTTCACATTTTCTTTCTACTTCATGTTCTTCAGTATTTGTAACTGCATCTAATTCATTTCACTAAGCATTGTTTAGTTAGAATCAATATGTCTGTGTGTTACTGGGGCACTTAGTGGAAGCAAGCAAATGCAACAAAAATGAACATTGTAAGAGCTGATTAAGGTGGGTTAGTGTGAGGCTACCTATCTCATGTTATAGTCAAATTTAGCTTTAAAATCCAACCAATCAAAAAAAGTCTACAGTGTGTTAAGTATGAGTTTGCTGTTGGTCCCTATTCTATTTAGAGATGAAAGGCAAATTCAGATGATGAAATAAGAAATAATATGTTTAATACTCTAGAGAAATTGACTAGAAAAAGAACTTTCAGTTAAGTGTTTGACATTGGAAGCTAAAACGTAAGTGGTCAGCTTGAATTTTGATAGGTTATGACAAACTTGGCTGCAGAGAGAGATGCATTTAAACCTGTGGTGGTGCACCAATACATGGGCTCATCCTGGTCAGGATCTATCTATCTACATCTTTACATGGTAATCCTAAAATGGGCTCTTCAACAGAAACCTAGCTAGCATGGGTGGGATTGCTATTTTCTTCAGTCAATGCACATCTGCAACACTGTAAGCCCCATCTGAAAACAGATGTGCACACAACATGCAAGCTCTGGAACACAGATCAATGTCCAAAGACTCTCCAGAACATCCTCCTGGAGCTCACAGCTAGTGTATGCAGAAGAAGTGGCAGAAGGAAAAGCTTCCAAAATATGGCCTTGAGTATGCTATATAGAAACAGATAATTTTTTGTTCTTGCTTCTGCTATTCCAGTAGTTCACATATGCTGGATGTGCCTCTTGATATTTGAGCTCTTCCTCTTCCCAGCATCTTTAACTGTCTTGGTTGTAAACAACTGTTACTTTTATGTTATCAGTTCTTGAATGCTTGAAATAGTTAAATAAAACTTCTGTTAAGAGGTAAAGTGACAAATTTAATGTATTGACGTAGGACATGAAGAGCTGAGGAAGTAGATACACAGAGCAACCAATAAACACAAGATTTATTCCTTGGTACCAAAGAAGTTAGCAACTACCATAGGTAGTAATGAAAGATCATTTACGTCCTGATTGAACACAAATACTTTCTTTAGTAAAACCATTACAATGTAGAACATTTGAGATATTCTAAATATTTTAGACTATTATTCATACATCTCTGTTTCATCAAACATATATTGCTTGTAGGCTATGTCCATGTCAGATGCAATGAATGAGGGACGTGTTCTTGTGGAGTTTGTCAGCAGAAAGAAAATTAGGGAGGAAAAGAACTCATATGGACTTATAACAATTACAATTACAAAGGTAATAGTTTGTTCATCACATATTCTGCCTCACTGTATTGATAATATGGCACTAGTGAAATGAATACTTTTTTTTTAATGTCCAAAAGAGGAGGTAAAAACCTGTTTCTGCTTACAGATTTATCAGACATACTGGATTGGAAATAATGAGGCTATAAACAATATATTGTACCATTTATTGACTGTGACGTTATTACTAAACTTTGAACATTATTATGATGTTCTATGTTAATAAACATAGGCATCCATGGACTAACACAATCATGGGTATCACAAATCAGGCTTGTTTTCCATCTCATGCCATTTGGTGAAGCATCTACATTAAAATAAATGTCTTTCCCCGCTGCAAGCCATCATCAACCACCAGGAAGAATGTATTCAAAGAAAGTTTAACAACAACCCCAAAAATGTAGGACCCTTCACACACCTTTAGGGAAATTGTACATACATGGCTTGACCTATATTCTATAGACCAATCAGCACTCAGTGGGTGATGTGGTCAACATCATGCTAGCCACCTTTACTTCCCACGACAAAACCTGGAACCCACTCAAGGCTGGGTCATTTAATGGCGGATAAGAGCAAAGAAACAACTAAAAAGAATAATTTTAAAACTATCACTACTGTCTGTTTTATCACCTTTTTTAGGGTGGTGTAGATGGGACTGGGGGGAGTCACAAGCTGCATGATTAGTTTGGTCACCATGAACTGTGCCGGTTACGATGATTAATTTTGCCCCGGACAGAGACACTCAGTCACCTTACTGGGGGTCAAACCCAGGTCTCCTGCATGAGAGCCCAGCATTGTAACCATTCAGCCAGCCACTTCTCAAATTTATAAACACCTTTAGAAGATCCACAATTTTGAAATAGTTGTGCCAGGCTGAGCCAACAAATTCTAACAAAGAAAACATTATACTGCTAAAAATTAATAAATGAAAGGTTACGACCTAGGCATCATTCAAAAAAATGATGAGATATGGATGAGGAACTGGATCCATTAGAGTTGAATATTGAAGACTAGAACAAGATAGTAGTAGAGAAGTGTAGTAGTGAAAAAACAATTGGCACTCCTTGAAACGGTGACCCTAGGGGGATGCAGTTTGTCAGGGATGTGGATTACATTAACCACCAAACTTAGAAGGTTTAATCCACTGTTTCTGTAGCTTCACATAATAATAAAATTTGTAGGTTCTATCCCAATATTTCTCCCTAGACGATGTCACAGGTCAGTCCAATATTTTTTAGGGTGGTCAGACTGGGATTCCCCACTGTCTGCATTTTGTGTGCCAAGTTTTCTACTTTTTCCAGTGGTGTCTCTCCAACAGCTTATGTTCAGTCTTTAATCTGCATAGTACAGATGTTTAGAGTTAAGTTTAGGGTTAGAGTTTAGTTGAGGGTTTGTATAGGGTTAGGTTCAAGGTCATGTTTTAGGGTCAGGGTTTAGGGTTAGTGTTTAGAGTTAGGGTTTAGGTTTCAGGTAAGGGTTGGGGTTAGGTGACATGTTTGCCTCGTCTCTGCTGCTGCCTCGCTAGTGGCCATATTCCCACATCTCTCAAGATGTACTAACTAGGGTTGTACCAAATAGTGATTTTCACTATTCGGCCAAAAACGAATAACGGGACTAACTATTTGGCCGAATACGAATGCGAATAGTGTACTGTGTATGAAATATATCTAAAAAAACACACTCATAATGTCACATGTAAGCTGAACTTTTACTTCACATAAAGTAGCACAGAATAGTCACCTTCTTCTTTAGCCTTGTGAGCCCTTGAGGTTTACTGCTGCAGATATCACTCGTCTCCATTCATCTCTCTGGCTGGCCTTCTCTTCACAATTTGTGACACCAGTTCTTTGCAGGTCTGGCTGGACATTATCTCTCGAACTTCTTTTTTGTCTGCCTCGTAGTCTACGCCCATTCTTCTCTCAGGTGTATACAGTTTTACTTCTCTGTCATCTGACATTCTTTCAATATGCCCCAATCATTTTAGTCTGTTAACTCTCACGATGCCAGTGATCAATGGTGATTTAAACAGATTATGTGTTACGTTGTTGCTTCTCACTCTCCATTACCGGCTGTTAGCATCTTTGATGGGTCCAAAGATTTGTCGTAAGACTGTTTTCAAAAACATGTAATAAGGCCTCATCTCTTTTATTTTTGCCCTCGAATTTCAGAGCCATATACAATGACTGGTCTTATCAACGTTTTATATATTTTGATCTTGGTGTTGCGAGACAGACACTTTCACTTTAGCAGATGTAGAAGGGCATAGTATACTTTATTTCTAGATTGTATTTCTTCTCTCAGCATGTTGGAGCAGTTGAAGTTTGCACCCAAGTACTTATATGTTTCCGTTCGTTTGATTTTCATATTATCGACTTAGATGTGGCCAGAGTTTATATTCTTTCCATGTCTAGTTAGTATACGAATAGAATAGTAAACATTTAAAAACACTTTATGTTTTGCATCCCTCGGTCAGTCTGTGGTAACTAATAACTAGGAATGAAAGAATCCTAGGTATTATAACAAGTAACTAAACTTGTAAATTGTCACTGACAGCTTAGTTAATGCATGAAAGCTGCATTAGCTTTCAACGAAACCAATCGTACCTTAAGGCCATGTATGCAGAAGCAGTTGTAAGGTAACTACTATTCGTATTCGACCCGACCGCAACTATTCGGCCGAATACCGAATAGTCAATAGGTCCACTAATCGGCCCCGAAGCGAATACGAAGTGAATATTCGTTGCAGCCCCAGTACTAACGTGTAAAATTGTTCTGATTATCAGTACGTGAACTCATCAGTTTACATGTAGAATGACCTTGTCTTTTATTTGTTGTTGTCAGCTGCCTAGGTCCCATAAACTGCAAGCAGCCCATGTCCCACGACTGTGTTTAGTGTAGGTCCCATGACTGTATGCAGTCTATAAAATACACTGAATCTAACGTCCATTGAGCATCACGTCGCCGCTATCGCAGGCTAGCTATAAACCCCAAAACCGAAAAACAAGGCGTAGATATCTCAGCCTAGCCATAAACCACAACACAACGTGCCAGCCACCCAGTTAAGGGCTAAATAAAAATAAAAAAATTATATCACCTAGCGGGGAATCGAACGCAGGTCAGCCGGATGATAGGCAGAATATTTACAACTACGCTAGCAAACACTCAAGCAGGTTGTGGAAATGAAATGATATAGTAATGCAAAGTTCAATAAGAGCTCAGCAGTCAAAAATGGTCAATCAACTAAAAACAAATCTGGGCCAGCAACGAAACAAATAATGATTTGATGCTTGCTGGAGCTAGGTCGTTCGTGGTTTGTGCAATTTTCGGTCAAAGGCAACGTTGTGTGAAAAATTTAAAGCAATCGGTTTAGTAGTGTCTGAGTCTATAGTTAACAAACACGGAAAATTAAACATTTTTATTAATATAGATTATAATAATTAATATATCTCAATATGAATATTCTTTCAGATTAGAGTTAGGGTTATAATTAGAGTTAGGACTAACCCTAACCCTAAGCCTAACTTGAAGCAATATTAAAGAATACAGAATACCATTAAGTGATTATACATAAATGATGGATTGTCTCTCTTATGGTTGCTGTAAACAAACAGTAGAATTGTTTTCACTAGAGTCACCATTCAAAGGAGTGCCAAGCCATTCTTATGCAGTGAAATCCTGCATGCCTCATAAATTTATCTAGCAGCTGAATCAAATAATGCAGCAGCAACATTAGAAATTGTGTCTCAGCTTCCTCTGATATTGAGAATGCATATTTTCTTTCCCTAGGAAACTAAGCCATTCACAATCATTGGTGTCATCGACCCAGTGACAGATGAGAGACTCACTGTGTCACAGGCAACTGCCAAAAATATTCTCAACATCAACAACTCCACCTTCAGGTCTGTTGAAAGATTTGAACAAATTTATATTTCCCTATACATCAAACAGCTTGAATTATAGAGTTGTTGTTATTGTCATAAGTTTTGTTAACAATGCCATCATGTTGAGTTAAAGATAAAAATAAGAGTACTTGTAGTAACTTGTTTCATCTTTGATAACAAGGGAGAGACAGAAAAGAAGAAATTAAGAAATTAGCCTTATAGAGTTCAGTGCAAGGTAAGAGAGGCAGAGGTAAACAAATATGTAGCCAGAAAGCTTAACTAGGTTAGCGTGCAAGCAATAACGAGACCTAATGCCAGTATCAAAATATGAATGAAAAGACAAGATTTCCAGGATAACCAATATCTGCTCTAGAATAGGGACCTGAAAAAAAAGAAGAAAGAAGAGATGTTGAAATCTTAAAAGAAAATATAATAAGAACATACACAATCAGAAATGGCAGCAGGAGCAAGCTGGTGCAATGTCAGCAATGGGTTTTACTAATAACAGAGTAAGACAATGTGGTCATTTAACAGGAATACCCAGAAATATCCCACTGCAACAGCACTGATATTTTGATGCAGCAGAAGTAGAACAAGATGTAAATCTTACAAGCAAGAAATTGATGGAGCATCTAAGGTAACAAATAGCATCTTGTATACAACCAGTACAAAGTATTTGTCTATATGTTGTTTCCTACTGATGCTTAGTTGTATAATAGGGGTAGCAGCAATAATATTAATCTTTTTTTTTAACATAATATTTCAAAATATCATTAACGTAGATATTGCAAATACATACTCTGTAAAAGTGATGATGGTAATTTAATGATGTGCTTAACAGGACAGAGAGTGGTGAGCTGATCACTATTGCTGATGCCATCCATTCAGCCTTAGTGTTGGTTGAATATCAGGATGGAGATCAGAAGCCAGAGGTGATCACCAAGGCGAATGCTGTTCATGGAGATCAGAAGCCAGAGGTGATTACCAAGACGTATGCTGTTCATGGAGTTGTAGACCAGAAGAAGAAACAGAAGGTAAGAAGCATGCTAGAACATTGTATCTTTGTTGGGTCCTCAACAGGAAAACAGTGTAGATATAATCTTGGAAAGAGAAAGCATGAAACCCATTTAAAAAACAAAAACAGTTAACATAAGACTGAGTTGTTCTGGGGAGAAGTGAACTTGGAAATCGGGTAAGAATTGATGGACACTATGAGTAAAGAGTAAGGGAAAGACAAAGATATAGATTCCTGGATGGCTTAGCACATGGCACAAACAGGCCAAGATCACAGACCTTATCCAAAGCCAGCAGCTGTGTGAGATGGCAGACCATGATTGTCTGTCTTTATTGGCATAGCACATAATAAGGATGATATTTCAACACTAGATATATGTATAACTGCACTACCTGCCATTGATCATCTGTTTCAGATTGATAAGTTATTGTATTTTATGCTAATCCAATAAGAATGTGTCACCCTGTCTTTTCAGGTGTCATTTGCTGATGCTCTGCGAGATGGGCTACTAGAGCGTGACTCCGGTGAATATGTCAACAACATCACAGGGGAACATGTGGCTGTACATGAGGCTATCCTCAGAGGATTCATTAAAGCCAGAGTGGTCTCAGACCCAAGCAAACTTGACATCAATCCAGAAAATTCAATAGTTGTAGAAAAACTCTCAAGTGCGAAAACCAAACTTCTGAAATCTGTGAAGGCAATTAAAGCATTTAAAGAAGATGAAGGCTGAGCATTTTCTGCCTGTCCTTACTCACAGCTGTCAGCTCAAGAGGACATGCAGTGAATTGTTGCTAAGATAAACTGTGCCATGACTGTAGTACTATTTACAATTACTTATACAATCCTCCACTTCATTTGGTGCTTTCCTTCTTCAGCTGCTACATAATTTGTCTTGCTCAAAATCAAACATGTAATATGCTTTTTCTAGAGATGTAATAATAATTATTGTCACTGTCAGTAATAATCTTTTATAATAATTTTTACAAATACCATTATCTCTTTTTGTCTTTTTGACTGTTTTGCTTAGCACTGAAAATTGTTACATGTGTGTACAATAATGACGGCAGATGGAAGATGTGTTAAAGTGGTAAAATGAAGAAACGCCAAAGTCCATGAGCATTCCACATGATGAAAACTACTTTAGCAAAGAAAACCACCCGTGGCAGTGAAAGTTAAAAAGTGAGAGTTAATTAGAGCTAAACATTATGTAGAAGAAGCCAACTGTAATGCATAGCACACAGGCCTGCTGCCCAGTACTTATGTGTTACAATCCCTCATAAAGCAGGGATCATAAAAGCCATAATACAGGAAGATGATACTTTCCTGATAACTATTATACTGTATGTTTGTGTAATTTTTTTTTTTTTTTTTTTTTAAAGTTATTGTAATCTATTTCCAGTTGTTTGTCTAAGAATTTCTAACTGAACAACATGCCCGAATATCTCTCATTTCAAATTACGTTTATATACAATTAACGCCAGAAGAATGAAATATCAAATAAATAAAAAATAGATTTCTTACTACAAGGTAATCATGTTAGTACTGGATTCCTGTGTGATCTTTCTGTCAATTTATTGTTTTTAAATGAATATAATAGACATATTTAATATAAAATTTGTTATTCATTAGAACTGTGTGATTTATTACTCTTATTTAATATCAATACTACTTAAAGACAATTATCCTCATATGCAACTTTGAATTATCACTGTCTGCTTCACTGGTGTGCATTTCTGAGTGTTATCAAAACAAAATTAAAGCTTAAAATAAAACAAACTTGGTGATTGTGTGCAAGTCTTTGTCTTGAGAGCTGTGTTTCTTTATTATTGGCAACCCCAGCTTCTTTATACACAGTCTGGTCATTTTTTTCTCTTGGTTCCTTCCTACCTTTCTGTCCATGCAAACCAGATCTGTAAAACAGATGTGCATGCAAAATTCAAGTCTTGGAACAAGACCAAAGTCTAGAAATGAACGAACAACCATAACCTTCCACCAGAGTTTACACCCGGTGATTCCTCAAAATAAAAAGAAGAAGATATTCCCTATCCTACAGGACCCATACACACACATTTTTTTTTTAAATCATGAAAATAACTTTCACAATGGAACTTGGTGTTCTCTGAGAATAGAAGCTTATCAGAGAACCATCATCATTCAGCGGCTTCTTTGCAGAACGTAACTCTCATCAAGCATGCCTGAAAGAAATTTGGTCTCTCATCAGCTCTATCACCTCATGTATTTGGGAGCCGCGTTAGCTCAGTCGATATGAAACTCACTTTCAAATCCAGCTGTGACTCGCTGCAGTCACGGTTGGTGTTTGAAACCGGGCGGCTCCCGGGGTTCACCCAGCCCTTAGGAAATGGGTACCAGAGTGACACTCTGGGGTAAATGGAGGAACGTCACTGTAGCTACAGAGTTACGTGTGGACGGCGACACAGGCGGACAGTTTCTCATCAGCTGTCCGTACTGGTAGCAGAACACTTATGGTTTATAACCGCTTGCAATGACGCTGGTTCACATCTCCCGACTTTATCTTTTACCTCATGTATTTTCCTATCTGAGGTATCTATTGTATTCTGTGCTCATTTTCGTGCTGGTCAACCTCTGATTCTCTCCAATCATTCTAAGAATCGTCCCAAACACGTCACAATGGAGGACCTTTGCCTACTAACAGCAAGCGTGTGGCAGCAATCGTCTGGTATCACACGTCATGTAAATGTTTCCTTCTCATTCTTGATGTGTTAGTCTTAAAGACTTCTATGCTGGTTTATCTGTATACTCCTCACCAATGTTCTTTGGACAACAGATATATTAGAACTACTTAAGGTACCTCGGAATCACCTTTGACAAAAGTTTGTCTTTCAAGGATCACATAGAGGGGGTTGTGGCAAAGGCTAAAAAATGTACTAATGCGCTAAAGATTATGTCAGCGATGGACATGGAGCAGAGAATGCTGTTCACACTTTACCAGCACTTAATCATTACAGTGATTGATTATGTAACATTTTTACTCACTGTCTCAAAGAGTCAGCTAGAGAAACTGGAGCGCATACAGAATGAAGCTATCCTGGTGATCATGAAATGTACAAGAGACACCCCGATTGTGTGCATGCGAAACATCCTTGCATTGCCGACTATTGCAGATAGGCTAAAGGTGCCGCCGGCTAAGTCATACCTCAGAGTAGCTACAGAAAAAGAACACCCTCTGTATGAAGCTTTGGCTGCAGGTAAGGGGGAGAGGCTGAAAAAGGGAAAATCGTTGATGGCAAAGCAGAAGACACAATAAGACAAGTGTGCATGCTAGAGAACATTGGGCAAGGAGAGGCGTGGGTCAGAGTACCAGAGGAAAAAGTCTGACCTATATAGGATTTTGATCACATTAGACTGGGAGTGCAGAGAGTGGCCAGCGGGTGCTACAGAGGTGGAAGTCAGATTCACGACAATTCACGCACAGTTGATCTGATTATCTATATAGATGGTTTGGTGTTGAGACGAAGGAGAAGTGCCTGGGGGTTCGTAGCAAAAGCCAATAAAAAATCTTTAGTGTATAACAGCTTAGCATACGACACCACAACATCTAGCATGAGAATGGAGGTGAAGGCGGTAACTGCATCTCTCTGGTGGCTAGAGAACAAGATGCATACACATGTCATAATTGTAAGAGACTGAAAGCTTGCTGAGAAAAGTGGAGACAGTGATGCTTCTAGCAGAGTGGCAAGCTACACTGGGAAGGTCACATGTAGTGAGCATACTTTGGATCTTTTCTTCAGGTAATACCGGCGTAACAATGTGGATTTGTAGAAGGAAAATGTACAAACAATGCCATATACATCCTAAGGACATTGTCAGAAAGAGCTATAGAAGTAAAGACTGATTTGTACTTATGCTTCATAGACTATACAAAAGCATTTGACTGTGTGAAGCATGAAGAAGTAATCAAACTGTTAGAAAAATTAAACATTGATGGGAAAGATCCAGTTTTAACATATGGATGTGAATCCTGGACAATCGGTAGGCAGGCCAAACAATTTTTAGAGGCCTCATATATGTGGTTTTACAGAAGAATGCTTAGAATACCTTGGACAGCCTAAAAGAGAAACCAAGAGGTTTTGACAGAGGCGGGAGCCCGAAGACAACTTATCACAGACATCAGAAGGAGACAGTCATCATTTTTAGGCCATGTTATGAGAAGAGGGAAAATAGAACATGCTGTGACCACTGGACAGATCTGTGGAAGGAGGGATGGAGGAAGACAACGAGAGAAGATGCTTGACAGTCTTGTTGATGGCATGGAGGTGTGTCGGCACACGAACTGATACATGCTGCAGGAGATCGCAGATTATGGAGAGGCATGATCGCCCACGCCAGTCGGCAAGGCACCTGATGATGATGAATACCGGCGTGGTGGGTTATGAACAGGCAGACAGATTGACTGGATCTCCCCACTGGGTGGTGAATTGATACACGACAAGGCAGATGTGGTCAAAGCCCTTTGGGAACAAGCAACGGAATCAGTAGAGAAGCAAGATTATTATGGCCTGGAGAGAATGAGGCACCTGGGTGTAACTAGAGGGTCTGGCCGGCTCACGACACTCAGAGGAAAGGCAAGACTGTTCAGGTCGAAGACTAAGTGGTGCTGAATCAGGAAACGTTTCGCTTCTAAGTTTACAATTCAAAGTTCATAGTCAAATAAGAATTGGGTTATTCAGGGAAATTCCAAAAGTTTAACTATTTAGGCACATGTATATTTCTGATTAGAGATGTGTCAGATTACAGCAGAATAGGACAATTAATCAGGATCAGGAAATTTAAGAAAATGAAGAACACTTTATTAAATAAATGCATGTTATTTAAAGCTATAAAAACAAAATTTTATAATTTCGTGGAGAATCCTGGACAAGGTTTCAGCAAATGTACTGCTACCTGCAGTTGGAGATCCTAGGCTGAGGAACATGATCGCCCACGGCAGTCGACAAGGCACGCAATATTTGTATGTGTGCTTGTGTTATTGAAAGTGTGCGTGTGTAAAAATGTTTGTGAGCGTATCTGTACGCGCTAGCGCTCGTGTGTACGCACTGTAAATTACCGAGGGGAGGGATATTGCCAACCTAAATACTTGTATCGTCGTATTCAAGTAATAAATAACAATGATTCACTCAATGTTTCACAAGCGTAACTATGGATACAGTCTGAACCAAAAGCCGGGATTTGCTAGAGATAAGATCGCAGACACCAGCCAGTTAACAAAACTAACCACGGTGTAAAAAGAAACAATGCTGTTTACTGCGTGAAATTGTTTATGTGCGTGAGAGTCTCTGTATATGCGTGAGAATGTGCGCCTATGTATGAGTCAGGGCCACAATTATATTTGAAAAGGCCTAAACTATGTAACGCGCCGAGGCGCGTTGAAAAAAGGTGGGGACAATCAGGCTTCGTGCAGAGTAGCAAGCATCACTTCAGAGGTCCCGGGTAGTTAGCATCTTTTGGATATTTTCTCCAGGTCATGCTGGTGGATTGGGAAACGAGTAGGCAGATATACTGACCTGCTCTGCACCACTTGGTGGTAAACTGATGTATGAGTAGCCTGCTCTGCACCAGTTCGTGGTGAATTTATGTATGACAGACTAGAAATTGTGAGGGCCCTTTGGGAACGAGTGAACAGTGCGAAGGAGCAGATGAATCATTACGGTCTGAGGAAAATGGCGCTGCGAGGAGTTACCAGGGGATCTG